TTTATTGTGTGTGTGGTGTCAATGGTCCTTGCAAGGTATCAATCTCCATTCAAATTGGTTATTGAGCCATAGTATTGAATAGTGGCATAAGACTTTGCTCTATAGGTCATGCTCAATAATTTTCGAAATCTATAGCATCAACCTTCTCTGCAATCCTAATTGCTTCTACAAATATTTGTGAATCTTTTAATTCTACATCTCACTTAATCATAAGTTTCAACCCTCATACAAATTGATCAATCATCTTTGCCTCTAAAACATTGCTAATTTGGAGACATAGGGACTTGAATTAGTGTCATAAGATGTATTGTCTTGTTTGAGAATGCACCAAGCATGTGGTTATAAAAAATGAAGTTGTATTTTACAAATATTCAAGAAATCCTAATAGGTTTCACCCATATAAGAAGAATGTAATTTTAATTTTAATTCAAAAGTACTTAAAGCTAGTACAAAGTACTCAAAAATATTCTTTTTAGAAACCTCAACCATATGTAAACTCCGATTGCCTTATTAATTAGGTAATTTTGACTTTTCTTTGCATGCTCTAATCCTAGTTAATGAACTTTGGTAAGTTGTAACTTCTAATCTAATCATCCATTTGATAAAAAAATTTATACACAAATGCCAATATGACTCTTCTATATGCTAAAAAAATTTAGTCCAATCCAACTTACAAATTGTAAGAAAAAGTCCAAAAACTACACTAACGTTACTTAGCTGCCAATTTGAAAGTTGATATAGATATTCCAATAGTGATTTCTCCTTCTTCACTTATTAACTTCAACTCAAAATCAATATATAGTTTGATCTTAAAAGCTTCTACCACTATGCCAAATTTCACCTTAATCCAATTAGTAGACCTTTAGATATCATAAAAATCCTATCCAACTTCAAACTCCCAACTTCTAATATCTTCTTATACCAAAACCTAGATATCTCTTAATTGCATTATTAAATTGATATAAAATTTTATATGTACTTAATATACCTAATCAACCAAGCAGTATCAAATTTTGAACTATAGATGTGATACCAGTTGCACAAACTAGCCAAGAGTATTAATCCTAATTATATTGTATAAATTCCAAATCACCAATACAAATCCTAACTTTAAATAATAATTGCAAATTCATTCAAAGCCCTCTTAAAATAAATCTTTTACTTTCAAAATTAACTTGAAGCTAGTTCACCAATCCTAATTATCAATCTTTAAATCTTTCTCTACTTTGCCCAAAGCAATTGTTTTAGTGGCTGAAGGTCAAATTTCGACCTTGTTCTACAAATGGTTGACTCTTGAGTATCTATCTAACCTAACTTAGGGATTTTTTAGCCCAACCTTGCCTTCAATTTAATCTTAGTATCAACTATGCTAGTTATTTATTATTTTTAACTTATTTTTATTAATTCATGGTCTTTTTAAGATAATAAAATAATTTCTACAATATTAAAGATAAATTTACCAACCAATCTTTAATTTACTAGCTATTAAAATAAAAAAATAAATTAAGTGACTTTTATAAAAGCCATGTTTAAATATCTTAAATTATTATTGAATCAAGATGATTAAATATTAATTAAAATTTTATTTTTGATTATATTTTTAATATATAATTGTGTTATAACATGACAATGTGAGATATAATCTTACATTGATCTAGATTGTATAAGATTAGAAAATTGATTGTGTGCTAACTTCTTTATATTGATGGACCAAAATTGATTCCTAGGTTTGGTTTCAAACTCCTTCGAATTACAAAATCTACCTTAAGCTCCATAGTTTTTAGCTTCGTGTTGCCACCAAATAGCTATCATATCTCTCAAATAGCTAGTTGCACACATAATTCCTTGAATGGTACTTGTTGGAGATAGATAGAGGTATTGTCATACACTAAACAACCATTAGCATATATCTTCTTCCTTTGAAGTTTCAAAATATATTTTAAACTTACTTAATTTCAATTTAGCAAGTGTCAACTTTCTTGTACTAGAAGCTTTCATTTGTCCTTGTAAAATAGCTATCTATTCTAAGAGGTGTTGCACCTGCGCCTCCATCTAAGCTTGCTCTACCATGTCTTCCATGTTGCAATTTCTTTTCCAAACTTTGCTACTATAATACCTTCTATCCTTTTAGTTGAATTCTTAAAAGCAGCTTATGCTAGCCCCAAAATAGTAATTGGTGTGATTACAAAAACTAACCTCTAACTAAATAATGGCTATTAATATACTACTAAAGAACAGACTAATATTTGCTTTGATATCAATGAAATGAGACTGAATTGTCTTAAAGATCTAAAATCTTGTCAATCTATAATAACATAAATTTCATCACAAAGTAGAAAAAAAAAAATCAGAACAAAATTGAATAGAATTGCATAGAATAGAAAATAAAAGACAAAATAGAACAAAATATAATATAAAATATAAACCAAACTTTACTAAGAAAAAGACATTGAAGCCATATCTGACCAAATGTCCCAAATGGCCTTAGTTAGTCCTATTTATACTTTGTCCAACCATCCTAGAACTTTTTAAAATATCCTTAATGGTGGATTCTATCAAAATAACCACTCTTTTAGAAAAATTTAGAAGTAGGCTCCACTTTAGTAACCACCTTTAATTCTTTTAAGATGTTATATGGTAAGTCCTAAATGAACCATCAATTTAGCTCTAATTCTAAAAACTTCTAAAAACTTTCCAAAAACAACTCCAATTACATATCTACACATGTAAATAATACGATTATCTTATCCATGCTCCATTATAAGCTATGAATATCCTAAGCTATTATATTAACTTAAAATCTAGACATAAGTAAGACTGAAGGACAAGAAGAAGAAAGAAGGGGGGTTCAATTTTCATTAAAGATGGAGACAATAAGATATTATGTGCAATTAGATAGGTGGTATAGAATTTCATATTTCTTATCTATTTTATAATAAAATTAATATAAATAGATAGAAGATAGATTACTACCAAATGTTGATTTTTTACTTCTAATATTTTGATAATTCAAAGGTGATGGACTTTGAATAAGAATGTTTTACCAAAAGCATCTTTTAGAGGGAATCAAGAAATAACTTTGCCAATAAAAGTAATCTTAAGGAGATTTTGATTTTACTAGCAAATAGAAGGAATCTTTTATGTTAACTAAGTAATTCTATTACTATTAATATTAATAGTAATAATTTTTACAGCTTGTCTAGATATAGCTCTAAGAATCAAATTGATCTAAAGTAGGACCAAGTCCTATAGAACTTATGGGATAGTTGGTGATAGAAGGTATAGAAGAGATAGTCCATGTATGTGTGGTAAGTTGTCAAAGCATCGTAGTGAGGTCTTTGGATAGTCACTTAATATTTGATGATGCATTTGATTGAGAACAAATATATCTTTGGAAATCTTTCTATTTAATGATGTAATACCATCAAATAAATTAATGATGTAAGTATCATAATCTATTGAAAGGAAGTTGCTTATTGCTATTAAAGTATATAAATAAATATGAAAGTAGAATAAGTAACATTATAAATGATATTACTTTAGATAAATTGCTATTAATTAAAGGATTGGCTTTTGGTATATAAGAAGGCCAAGAGATAAAGTAGATCACTGGACAAAAGATCTTAAGAGTATAAAAAATATGCTGAATACATATTTTTATAATAAATAAAATAATAATGAATATTCTTCATAGAATATTGGATGGATGTATTCATCAAAAGTTGGAAGTTGTTTAATAAGGTAGCAGCCACTACCTATAAGTAACAGGTGTTAGAAGTAAGAGATATCTTAATCCATACTCTCTTTGTATGCAACCTAGTTGATACTAAGTATTATAACTTTATATTACTTGTTCTTCAATAATTGCTAGTTTTTCATGACCGAATAGTTAGAAGAGTCAAATTCAATGGATGATCTATTCGAAATTATTTTGATCATCGTGCCTATTGATTGGATCCTTTCTCTTATTTCTCGTAAAAATTCTCATGTTTGTGCTAGCATCTAAAGAAAAAATTTGTCTTCTATGACTATGTTCCAATCCAAATATGTTCATACTTTTAAATCTTATACCTCCATCTATTAGTGACTAGCTTTGTTGAAGAAGAAAGAATAGTTTGTAAGAGGTAGCTCCATTAATTCAAATACATAACACATTAAGGTGCCTTCGAGCATGTATTGCTATTGATCAATCTATTGGATTGATTTCTATGGATAAAGTATGATACATTTGCTACCAAGACCAAGGTTGGTAAATATAGTCATTTGTAATTGTTTCCAACAAGAGTGTGATACATTTACTAACAAGACCAAGGTTGGTAAACATAGTCATTTGTAATTGTTCCAAGCAGGAGTGTGATACATTTGCTACCAAGACCAAGGTTGGTAAATATAGTTATTTGTAACTGTTCTGAGCAGGAGTGTGATACATTTGCTACCAAGACCAAGGTTGATAAACAGAGTCATTTGTAACTATTCCCTACAGGAGTGTGATAAATTTGCTACCAAGACCAAGGTTGGTAAACATAGTCATTTGTAAGTGTTCCCAGCAAGAGTGTGATACATTTGCTACCAAGACCAAGATTGGTAAACATAGTCATTTGTAACTGTTCCTAGCAGGTTGTTCTTTTGCTTTAGTAGGTGTATGGTGTTTTTGTGGAGAGGATGATGTGAGTGCCTTGTAGTTCTCCCTGAATCAAGTTGAGATATTGCTTTAGCGTGGTGTAGATGATTGGCCAGATTTGCATTCTTTTTTCATCCAATTCGTACATTCGCAAGCAACTATTATCATCCGATGGACGACATAAATTCACAAGTTAGAGCCTCGCCGGACGTGCAACCGACGAAAACCCATTTCACGTGACTGGCAGTTGATGCCAGCTCGACCATTCCGGGTGGAATTCGTCATGGTGACTGTGTTCCCAACCCGAGAACAAGGGAGCATGCGTTCCCACTCATCGAGGCTGCATGCTTTTTTCTCCCATCCTCCGAGAAGTTCGTCTTCGAGGTTTTGCTCTCTTTAACAACACTCGAATTTCCCCGTGTTTCTATTTGGCTCAGGCAGCGGTACGTGATTTCGAGTTAGCGATCGAGGAGGATGCATGGGTCCTGATGATGCGTAGAGCGTGAATGTCGATCGGTGTTGCGCGTGCGAGGAAGAAGTATTGCGATAGGAAGGGGTTTGGGGTTTTAGCGGCGGGTGTGACAGATTGCTGTGTACTGTGAAGAATTGCGACGCAAGTGTATCTTAGGGTTTGGGGAAATTAGTTGGTGGAATGGCAACGAGAATCAGGCGAGGGCCGCCTGCGCCCTGGCTTCTGGGAAGCGGACTTGCGTGCATGCGAAATGAGCAGGTGATTGTTCGGGATGTCAACTTCACGGTTCATCGAGGCTCGGCGGTGCTTCTGACGGGACCTAATGCTTCGGGGAAGTCCAGTTTCCTCCGCTTGGTATGGTGCCCTCTACTCTAGGGATGATGGTAATTGACGTCGATTTGTTGTTAGTGGTAGTTGGCTTTTTTCTTTTTTTGTTTCGTTGAGGCAGTTTTTCTGCTCACAATGTGTACATACGTTCTTGAATTGTGTCCTAGAACTGGAACTTCGATTATTTCATTTGTATCTACGTGAAAACCATCTTGTTGCATCGCTCATTGTGCTGGTTCACCTGACAGTTGTGCGGATTCCTAAAGCCTAGTGCCGGTCGACTCTTTTGGGATGGCAATGATTTGTCTCAACCTGGTCTCTATGATTGTAAGCTCATTTTCTTCTACCTCTTCCATGGATGTCTTGATATGAATTGTTCATGAATTTCAGAGTTTTCCCCAAAGGTTCGTAGGCATATGATTGAGTTTGAACTTTCTTATACTTTTGCATGTATTTTAATGAAGATAGCTAATTAGCTGCTTTAAGTAATTGCTGGTGTTCGTGGGGAGCGGCCGTGTGGGCATGTGAAGTACAGTGTACCGGCCCCAAGTACATTTGATTGCTGCGAAAGACGCCATAAAGAAAGCAATGACAGTATATGAGAATGTGGTGTGTTCTCTTTCTAACTCTCTACATTACGAATTAGCACAATAAAACTGAATATGTTTTTGTACATGTTAGCTGTTACGCATGTTGTGAACTGGTGTGGTGTTTTGAGAGGTTTGTGAATTGAGCGCAGCATTTTTGGGAGGTGCTGGAAGGTGGTGAAGGACGAACACAATGGGCATTGGATAGAATGGGTTTAGGACCCTTTGCTCAAGAGCAGGCCGTCGTTCTGTCAATGGGGCAGGTATTTGCTCATCGGCTAGGAATTAATTTGGAGACGCTTGGTAGCTGTTGAAAAGATCTCTTGTCTAAACGAATATATCTTCACTTGTGAACTAAGTCGCAACACTGCCACAGTGAATTCTCTGGCTTATCCAAATAATTGGACGTGAGATATTATCCCAGCAGAGTGGTTCGAAGAGAACATTAGAGTTTTGGCACTGTAGTTGATAATGTAAGTAACGTTCTCAACGACGATACCTACACGTTTCATTTTTGCAGAGGAAGAGATTACAGCTTGCAAGGATGCTAGCTGTACCTAGACCATTGTGGCTATTGGATGAACCCTCTGTTGGCCTTGATGTCGAGGTAATGCACAAAAATGTGCTTTTGAACTTGTATATTTGTGCCTACATGTTGGCTTTAGATTTCGGATTTGCCGAACTCCTCATCTAGTGACGATAATGAATAACAAGGCAATGGTTGTGGCATATTCTGCCTGGTACCATTGATTACAGAATGACATTATGGAGGACTTTTAACTCTATTTTTCCAATATTAGGGCGTTGAGATTCTCGAGGAAATAATGGCTGAGCACCGCAGCAAAGGAGGAATGGTGTTTGTTGCTACTCACGTCCCAATAAAACTCAAAGATGCAATGCATTTGAGACTCCCTCCCAGGTATGTTTGAGCTGTAAATCCTATTTGCTAATTGTGTAAGATTGCCTTAGTCTCAACACCTCGATCGTGTGTCTTGTGTTGGAAAAGATCTCTCATTGGCATGGATATGATGTAGTTTGTTGGGAATTTGCGGAAGGGTGTAGTTTGCTATTTTCACCAGTTGACAAATTTTACACTTGTATTCATTTTGTAATTAAATGACCTAATTGGAAGCATTTATGCTACGACTGCCTGTCATTTTAGGACCCCACAATTCCGACAATATAATGCTGGGGATTTCGTTTGAGGATTTCAAAGTCTGCTCGAATGTTTTATTCCATGCACAACGGATTTCAACTCTCGAACAGGCCAACACGCTCGCACCGTAAATGTTTAGAAATGCCTCACTAGCTATTTATCTAGTGGCTTTCCTTCTGTCTACGAAAGGGAAGATTGGATAGATTGAACTCAGTAGTAGCACATGGTGCAGCAATTAAACGTCACTTGAATTGGGTAATGAAGATGCAAAACTGACGTAGTGCTTTTCATATCTTCCATTTGCCCCGCCACCGTTGTATGAACCCTGTTTTGATCAAAGGTGCAAATATATTTGCCAAAAAATTTAACAATTACTCTGTTGCAGCAACAGAAACTGCCCGTATCACAAATACCGTTGAAGTGTGTATGGATATACGTACGTGTTTAATATGTTAAAATCGTTCGTTTGCACTATTAACCGACAACTGCAAAAAGAATGTGCGGCACCACAAGATAGTGTTCATTACATGTGATCGGACCCATTCATTAAGAAAAATGTACAGATAATTACAAGGTATATTCTACATTCTAGTGTGCAATTGGAATTTACCCAAAACCAGTGGTTTTCATTCACTGGCCTGTTAACAATCGTCTGGTTTATGAGCTACAGGTCAATGGTGTTCCTTAATTGATGAGCTGGCGATCATATCACCTTGGATACATATGTCATCATCTAATGGACGTCTGCAAGAATCTGTTTAATGAGGCTTTATTTTAGCCTGGTTGCAGGGTATAGCGTGCACTTCTTTCAAGGAAAGTATCCTACCATTATCTAAGTGTATGTACGATATTTAAATCTGCTGAACTAGGTTCCTAAAAAATGAAGTAAATGAAAAAATAGGACATACAATGTTTCTCAGGGTGTGCATATCCTTTTGGTAGGCAAGTCGATGGGACAGAGAAATCCACATTCCTCTATGTTCAAAGGTTGCAGGTGAAAGCCACCCGACACACAGACTAATCGTAGCGTAAGTGTGTCGTCACTCCTGTCAGAAACTCGATGTTGATGCAAGGTTTGTACGTCGTGGCAAATAAATCAGCAGAAAAGGGACCAGTACGAATCACCTGATGTGAGGCCCGTCAAATACCTGGGATTGAGATCTTTTCAATATCGTTGGCACAATGGAAACCAGGCCAATGCAGAACAGAGCAGATACAGTCTTGACGTCATACAGCTCATTGAAACTGCTGAGGGTGTTCAGGGCTAAACCGGCCTGTTGGGTTCACAGCATTGTTTAAGTCAGCAGAAAGTCAAAAAGATAGCTCAAGGTAATTGCGCTACCAAACAGAGAGCAATTTAAAAATTTGTGCCGACAGCACAACTATACTCAGCACTACCGCATTGATGTTAGGAAACAAGGTTAGCATACTGTCATCTGAACACGTAAAATAAACTAAAAATAATTAAGAAAATTAATATGGTCATTTACCAATTACTCATCACAAAATGCCAAACAATGTATGTCGCATTTGACAATTAGAAGCTGAAGAATTCTAAGATTAGGATGGTGGGATCCCAAGAGTCAGCTGGGGCATTATTTAGTCCACAAGTACTCTCTACAACTAGCAACATTGTTATAATACTTCTCCAGAAGTCAGCTGAGATGTCTTACTCGAACAGTCACAAATGTGGCAGGCATCAAACCAATAACTGTAGCCCCAATGAACGTAGGATAGGGAACATTAACAATTGGAGAACAGACGTTAATAAAAGTATTTGGCAATGTTGGTGTAACCCTTAAAAAGATCATGTAGTTGAACAAGTACTCTCTTCTTTTAGTGACCTGCACATGTACACATCCGTCAACTGAGAACTTGCGAAAGGACTCGGCACGGATTCAATGAAGAAATTTCAAAGCATTGTATCCATGTATGCCAAAGAATCTCTACTCAATGGCTAGCGGCGATTTCGTAACAGAGACACTCTATCAGCAAATTACGAATGTACACGAGTAGCCAGATACACGTGATTAGAAGGTATCGAAATCTGATTAAACTAATGATACAAAATTCTAGGCATTTGGATGCGCAGGTTGGTCACACCACCCCAAGACGACAATTGCAGGTTCGAAATTGTTTCTTGCATACAATCAGCGCACAGTTGAGATAATGATGGAAAGACAAACCTCCCGGGTAAAAAAGTTGAGTTTGTCAGCCCACAACCACATAGCAAGGGGGCGGCCAATAAGTCTGGATAATAAATAGCAACAAGAAGCTCCTGCGGAAGCCGTGAATATCACAAGCGTCATGCCTTGGACCACACCAAACAGAGAACCCGCCAGAAGAGACATTACGATTGTTCCAGGGATCATAAAAGTCTGCATAAATATGTAGACTGTGCAGTAACCCAATAACACCTGTAGCCTGTAGTCATCTGTGTATTTTGAGACATAATCCCTGCAGAGACATATGCAATAGAATCAATTCGTAAATTCAAATCGATCAGTATAGTTTCTAAACACCAATTGCTTTCGAGTGAGACGAAATTACCTCAATCACAATCAAAGAGGTTCGCTCTACAGTCTAAAGAATGACCAATAAAATTCATATCGACGAAGACAAAATACCAGCAACATTACAAGTCAAACACATTCATATCGACTCACGTCAAAGTGCGCAACTCTGCAACTGTACGAGGAAGCTTGAGAAAACTTGGATCCACACTAGGCATAGTGACATATACGCATAACAATGCAATTGTGAACATCCCAAATATGCCAAGCACAACACTCGTTTCAAACGTGGTCAAAGGCAATTGAGATGTGCGCCTTGAATCCCCGTTACTTATTCCTTGATTAGGTGGAAGCAGCTCCTCCCCAGTGGTACTAGGCTTCTTCATCACGTCCGTGGGTACGGTAGCCTTCTCCATAGTGACGAGTGCGGCGAGAGGGAAGGGACTAATAGTTCTTGGTTCCATTCTGTTGCAACGTGCAGGAAGAACACAAAATTGTAAACATTTCTCTCAATATTCTATGCATTCATTGAACGAGAGATATAAGATGTCAGCCAAGCATAACCTGCAAAGCTTCCCACCATTGCACAGTAAGATTTCTCGAGATCGATCTCAATATAGAAGGGTACAATTTCAAGTATACAAGAATATCTTGTGATCGAAGACAACTAAGAGCGTCTAACTTACATAACCTCAAGCGTGCACGTGTTTCTCGTCTCGTCAATGGAGCAAGTTACTTCCAAACTTAAGCTAGGCACAGGCTAAGAAGTTCGTAAGGACAATGAAGTATACAAAGAGGCAGGAGGGCAACCTAAATGAGAGGCAAGGAAGAGCGAAGCCGAGAATGAATTACAGTGCTGAAAAACACAGTCGAAGACCGAAAATTTGACCAACTCAGAGCGCAAGATTGCGACAACAAAAGAGGACCCACACAGACCAACAGAGAGACGATACACAATCACAGCGGCAGAAGATAAAGGGAGAGCACAAAGTAATAGGAAGAAGCCTCGACGGCGTCTGCTACACCGTACACACACCTACGCTGTAGTAAAGTCCTTCCACCATGCGGGACAACAACAACAACAACTCATATAATTCCCCGCTACTTAGATCGTTCAAGGCTCCTATCCCTTCCTGTTTCCTCTCCTCTACACCCCAAAGATCCGCTGATCTCCCACCACTATCTCCTTCACTCGGGAATCTGCCGCATCAACTTGCAACCCTGATACAATCCAACACCATAGGCACCAATTGACCGCGCCTTCGCTGCCAACGCGCCCTTAACACGACATTATCCAAAGACGTGGATTCATACTTCCTACCGCCGTCTCCTCCACGCAAACGAACGCTTCAGCCGAGGATCCAAAGCGAAAAACAACCAATGCTGAGAAAAACGTGTCGTGAGGTGAAAAATGGTGCCCTCCGTTATTTATAGCACGTTTCCGCAGGAACCAAAGGGAAGCATGGAAAACCTTGCACTCGGTGTCTCCCTTCAAAAAGCCGAAAGCTGAGATGCAATTAGATGTGCGATTTACTCTGTCTCCTGCCTGCCGCACCTCGACGTGTGTTCCACCGCTAAAAGCAGGCCACAGCATTCCAAAAATTAAAAGGCTCTGGAGCCAGTCGATCCGATGCCCCCGCTTAGAGTGTTCCGACCATGTGGGAAGCCCTGGAATGCAGACACAGCCGCGTCTACGAACGGCTCCGAAACTCTAGCTTACTGTTCCATCTCCCTGCAAGCAGCGGGAGATCAGCAATCCATCACAACACAACTATCTAATTTAGGGTGTGGTGTGGTATACCATTTAGATGGAGTCGACACAAGACGGTGAAATGTTTCGCAGTGGATTCTAGCGAGTCTCCTCCAGTGGCACTGCATCCATTTTTATTTACATAGATTCCTTGGCGATACATCGATTCTTACATTTTGCGGTGAAGCAACATGCAGTACACTAGAGATTTGAAGTTGAACACCTAGGTTTGTCGTTCAGACTCAAGTAACAAATCTATTGAGATTTACTGCAACTGAATCGAAGGCGTGACGGGAAGAAATTTGGTTTGAGAGTTGAACAAGGCGAGTCATTACTACGGTGTCCTGAAGATGAGAAGCACCGGGAGAAGCCAGAACTTCGCAGTGGTAGACGCCTTGCGTTAGGATGAAAATGAAGAACGAGGAGTTTGTAAATTTGGAGAAGACGGAAAACCAAGCACCGATCAAGTGTCAGTAAAACGTAACCCACCATTTTGCATTTATTTAACTGAGGGCATGATGTACCCTTGAGACTGAATCAAGACAACCGGACTCAAGCTTGTCCTTTCCTTTGGAATGACCAACTAATTTACAGCAAGAAAATAGTTCCTGATGTGATGCTATTGATCAGCATATCCTCGTCGTCATCAAACATTCAACTCCTTTGGCAAGCCTGGAAACCTTCTGTCGACGAACTCCTTGTACTTCGACCTAAGAGCGTTCACTGCAAGTACACGGGCACGTTCAGCGATGGTCAAAGGTTTGGCACACGTTGGTCTCGTTTAATAATAACACAGTCGCTAGCCAAAGGACAAAATAAGATGTTTACTTACCTTAAAGACCTTATTGAGGTGTCTTAGATTCAGAGACAGGGGCAGCGCTTGGCTGCCCAGTACCTGCTGTGACAGAAGGCTTCTTCCCCTTGCTCTTGGGCAATTTCTCCGAAACTGTTGATTCGATGTAACTCAGGAGGTCATTCTCTGCAAGTCCACAGTGACAGTAACAGGCATGGAGCCTGGTAAGATCCCTCACACAGCAACCACAACATGCTGGTTCACCAAGGAATCGCCAGTGGCAGTGTTGAAAGGAAACCGCATTGTGATGCATAAGTTGATCATACAATAAAATCTACGTACCTGCTAAGACGCTGGCGTTTACCAAAAACGCTGGAACGTTTGTGCTCTCCAACTGCGTAACATACGACCAAATCGTATATAAACACTAAACCCATAGAGAGAACTATTCTCTACATAAATAAACAGCGTCAGGAGATATCGGGAACTGTAGATATGTAGAGTTAATAATTAGAGATAGACGATACGACCTAAATTTGAACTGTAACTGTTTAAAATGGCGGCGTTAGTCGGCTGAACGCCATCAAGAAGAATACTACTCGAACAACCAACATTAAAACAAGACCCCTCAACTTCATTTACAAACAAAAACGACAATCAGTCCAGATAAAAAGGTGTACCATTGCTGTAAATCCCTTTCCAAGCTCAACTGGATCCACTGACCCTGGACCTGCTTGATAACCGGGTTGAAAATCATCTCCATTGTAGCCTGCTACGAACAATGCTCCCGCCTTTTCCGGCGTGACCTTCGAGATTTCAGGAATAGCTCCAGAACTGCACACACAAAAAGTAATAAACAAATAAACAAATTTGAATAAATAAATAAATAACAGGATCTTCAAATAAGCTCTTAAACCAGATCCGCAAACAAAAAAAGACCATGAAGTCTTTCCACACCTAATGAGCACTAGTGAATATTAAAAAATGTAAAAAAAAAAAAAAAAAAAAAAAAAAAAAAAAAAAGTCAAAAGCCAAAATGTTGCAAACCTGTCGGCGGTTACCAACACCACGGAAGAAGGAGCTTTGTAAAGGTTGGGAGCCCCAGCGTCTTTGCTCGCAAAAAGGCGGGCCACCCCTTCCTTGCTCCAAACTACACCAAGATCAGGCGATACTGCTGCTTTCAGAACTCCAGCGTTCTTTTGGATCACCGACTCTGGGGCAAATACGACGACTGTTGCTCCTCCCTGAATTACGAGCCTGCAACCTCCCGCCAAAATATTTTACGTAAATGTTTTATGATCCTGTAAAACTGTGTTTTACGTTTATGTAGACTTGTAAACGATTATGCAATTACGATTGTATTCAGAGAGTTTCTCTCACCCAATGTTTGATCATTAAAATGTTCATCACCTTGAATTTATTACAAATTAGAGCGAATCCAATCAAACCGACACAAATATGTGCGTGGTTGTAACCTTGTTGATGTATTTTCACAAAATATAGTATCATACCGCTCCTGCTTGTACTTCAATGCTAAATTTGACAATATACTGACAATACCCCAACAGCAGGTGAGGGTGAGGATATCAAAGCTAATACATAATCTCAGTAGGTATCTATGACATTTCAAAGTTTGTTAAGTTTGATGTTTTAAAATTTGTATTAATATAGAGGTCACAAGTACGAAGAGCACCATGTATTCACTTGATCTAATAAATATTATTCTTTTTCATTTAGCCGATAATAATAAATAAGTTTTATTTTATTTTATTTTCTTCGTTTTCTACTTTGGGATAGTTATGACCTAGTATAAAATAAGGCATGCGTTCCACAGAAATATTGTCCATGTGTTAAATCATTAACAGAATAGCATACTGACCGTGCTGACAGCGGAAGGGCATCTCGAGACAAGACACTGGGTGCCGTTAAGGCAGCCAAAGCCTTTTTGATAGTTTCAACATCTGTAAATGCACTCCCCACCAAGATCATGGCCGAGCGATCATAATCGATCACTACAAAGGCTGCCTTATCCTCAGCAGAAAGTCCAACACTGCCAACATCAGATGGACTGCAAGGCAACACCACATCCGACTTCTTATTATTAATCGCGGACCAGTAACTCTTACAATGCGTGACGTCATCGCTGAGAATGAATGTAATCTTCGAATGATAACAAGTATGAGCAAAGGAACTTCAAATACATGCCGGGATTTATAAGGTGACGATACCTGTAGTTTGATGCAATGTAAACTGTAAAAGGAAACACTTGTGAAGAAACTTGGCGAGTAGGAACTGGTTCTAGAATGCTTCGGAACAGCAATGCACTTGACGGATTGTCAGAAATGGTCCGCACTTTGGCATCAGACAAAGGTGATGAACCAACCGCACCATCATGGACATAAATCTTTTGAGAGTTGGCAAGGAATGCTGTCACCTGCATAAATGACCTCTTTCTGTTGGTTCGATACAAATATAGAGCAATTGGAAACAGATAACAGACCAATACAACCAGGGTTATCCCTACAATGTCCACATACAATCTCGTAAAGAAAAAATTTGAGCACCCAATAGCAAGATAACTTTGGCACACTCACCTCTTTGAAAAGTCGATTGAACTGAGCTTTGCTAATATCTGTAGCTCCCGCGGTGTATGAACCACGAGCATAAACCTTGGTGGTTGAACTTGGCTCTGTGGATGATGAATGACGTGAGCTGTGTTAGAGCTGAAAGTGCAGCTTCTAATACAGACGATAAAGCTATGCACTTGGATCACCCTAAAGAACCCTCGCATACACATTTGCAACAACTTCGAAGCAACATCTACAATTTTCATGATACTGAAGAAGCGATTCTTATCAAGTGACTTTTTATGCTGAAATGGGTGTTATATCCAGTGCGTCATGAAGCTGTACTTGGAATACTAGCATTGAGCTTCTTCAGCTCGGACCCTCTCAGATTACGATACGCCTCTCCTTTTGGTGCAATGCCCTTGGCGCAAAGAGCCCAGTTAAGTGCATAATTCACTCCTGGACCCTCCCTGACAGCAATGCGCACAATCTTCAGTACTCTAATGACAACCCCATGATTGTCATCCTGATTAAATGAGACAAATAAGAAGTATAAAATTACATATCACCGAAAGAAAAGAAAAAAATCATGTCGAAGCAAATGGAAACATTGAGCAAACCTAGGGAAGATGATTTGTTGATTTTGTCCAGTGGCTGACTCTGCCGACTGCAAACGAGCAACCTTCACATTAGAGAGCACTCGTGCGAAATGCATGACACTCCCACAGCTTCCAAATGCCCCCAGTATAGTTGTACATTGATGATCAACGCTCGTACCGCAAATTCATTGTGAAGGTACGAGCGCGTAACAAAATTGAATAGAAAATAAGTCATTACACGAAACCCAGAGTTAAACGAAGCGTCCATGGTGACAACACGTGACATTTCAGTGGACAGCATCGACAACGACAAAAGCCAGAAACCCTAGCGACGACTAAAATGCGAAATTAACAAGACCATTACATCCCCATTTCCCACTTCGTAGTTCGAAACTCCTGTCATTGAACCCTAAAAATTACAAAGACCCACCCACATTCCACCCCGGATCTAATAAAAGACCTTACTGAGCACTAATTCGCAGGAAGGATCTCGTCCCGGCAAACTTTCCACGATCGAAACCCTACACGAGCCCCATCCATGCCCGACCTGCGGAAAATTGAGGTAAAGGGCGACTGACCCCTCAAATGCGAGGCGCATACCTTCTCAGCGGCGCCTTGAGCAGCAGCAGAGGACAGTGGCGCCGAGGCGTGTGTGTAGCGCGAGGAGAGGAGCGCGAGGCGCTGCACTGTGACCCTCCTCATGGTGTGTCCCTCGATAGATCCTCCTCCACGAGCCCTGGCGAGACAAGGCAGCAGCAATACACACACACACCCACACACCCTTCGGTTGCTAGCTCGGCAACCCGCCTCCGATAACTACAAGCCCTCGGAAGACAAGAGCCTGTCGCAAAAAAGAGCTTGAAGCACGGAGGCCGACGGATGGATGGATTATTGTGTAGATGAATGAAGAGCTTGGTTGAATGAATGTGTGTGTCGTCGATGAGGTTTATGTATTTCATCCATCCGCGGATGTTGCTGTGAATCAAGTTAACCCTAATTCTCCTGCTTTGTCAGGCTCGGGGCTTCATCCACTCATGTGTCGTAGATTTAATGTTTATGGTTTTTCCATGTAAAATATAATTTGTATATTGAGATTTTAGGAGATTTTTTTCTGATTTTTTTTTTGAATTATATGTTTTTTTGCATGGTTTTGCTATGTGTTTGATAGAAAATAATAAGATGAGTGTGACAAAAGATGTTGAAGTGTGCATGGAAAGAAACCTGGCCAGTTACTTTTAATTGTTGATTATAAAATTATAAAAAAATAGATAAAAATATTTTTGAACACTGTTAATTTTTATAAAAAAATACAAGTTCATTTTGAATAATATATAAATACTTTTTATATAACATAATACATAAATATCCTAAAATTTAATAACTATACAAACTTGTGCAAAACAATTATGTTACATTCAAAGTAAAACAAGGGCTCTTTATTCAATACTTTATGACAATAGGTATTAAAATATTAAAGAAGTTATATATAGGGGAACGAATGCAAAAGTACTTTCAAATTAGGAAAGGATTTGAAAATAATTACATATAGGGGAACACTTATGTTATCCATTGGTAGAGGGTATTAATGAAGGACCATCAAAGACTAAGTAACCCTAAAAATTGTTGTGCTAATTGTCTACTATGCTTTATTGCCACTCTTCTCTACACCTCTCCATATTCAAATTGTTTTTTATCTTAAAAAAATACAAAAACTTCTATGGAGGTAGGTGATAAACATGTAATGTATAGAAAGTAGACATCTTAAGATGCTACGACAACACTAGACAAATCTAACTTTTTAGAAAATAACCTATAATCAATTGAGAACATAATTTGTGCAAGTACAATGCAAAAGAAGGAGTCTTACAATCATGACTAGCTATAATATTGTGCAATCAATTTCTTCCAATTGCACTAAGCCATCACGTATAAACAACCCCTATGGATTATTTTTGCATCTAGTATTATCATCAAGCTTAAGAATGAGCTCATAATCACAAGTTTCAAGACTAACAATGTATTTAGCATACAAGTTTGCATTATAGGAGGTGGTGGGCTCACAATTCAAAGCATGAGCAATATCATCATATATAATCTCTTCATCCACAACATTAAGGCCACTAGACTCTTAGATATTATGAATTCAACAAAGAAAGTGGAAAACTGTCCTTGATGCAATGGTGATGTGATATCGATCTTTTCTTCTAGAAACATCTAATTGGATCACTATTGCCTATTAAATGCTACCAATAGGTTGATTGATGTGATTTATGGCTTAAACAGTGTTTCCATAACTAATTGCTAATTCATTAGATATAACAAGGTGATGCTTCCATGAGGAGATGCAAGTCAATAATGGATTGGAATATGCATGTTATTGTGCCTTACAACATTGCTTTAGAAAAAAACTTGGATGACAAACATTAAATTCCAATAAATCTTTTGCAATAATAGATTTCTCTTTGCTCTTGATAGCAAATGGTCTTACTTCTTAATGAGAGGTGTATATGCATGTTTGGATGCCATGCTCAATATTCAATTGATTGCTAAAAATTTAAATATGAAAAATTTTTAGGCAAAGTTACAATGTAAAGTGATATGAGTACTTATAAAGTGTGATTGTGATTCTAGTTCAACTACCCTCATCTTCTATAAAAGTACTAGCTACATCAATGGCAGTGCTTACATATATAAGTATTATGATCTTTTTTATGAAAAATACCATAAGTGACTTAGTATTTAGCATCAACTTTTCCATGGCTTTAAAGACAAATTTTGCAGAGATGGCCTACTTGCTTAATCTTAAGAGATGGCCAATTCATGTTGTCATCACTCAAAGTTTCAGTGCCAATAGATATAACAATGCTAGCATACATAGGACAAAATTTGCTTAACATATAAATTTGGTGTAGAAATTATTCAACCCACTCTTAGGATTTCATTGCTCTAGTATATGTGTGGATGCATGGCAATTGATATTCTTCAAACTTTCTATAGGAACAAAAGTAGCCAACAAGATTGATAACTCGGAACATACTACTACTACTATTATTATCACTGCCATAAACCTCAAAAACATATGTGTCTATTTGGACCATTAGCCATGTTCAACCTTTCCTAGCCTTTGTCTAAAGTTCAAGTATTGTTGACTATGGCAAATGGTCTATAAGCTCAATGTACTCTTCTTGTTGGATAAAGAAGAGGCCACATGATTTGCGGAAAAGCTATACAAGAGCATTGAATGGCTCAATATTGCAAACAAAAAGAATCCATGCATTTGTTATGTTTGACATGTTTGATGTGAGCACCTCAAAGCATAAAATCTTAGTATGGCTTAATATCCACGTTTCTGCTAAGATTCCATTGATATTTGCATAAGCCTCAGCATGCATCTTCTTGATCTATGCCATGGCAAGTAGATAAGTGACTTTGATGAATGCTTTGGCAGCAATTCAAATCTTATCATTTAGCTACGTTTCATAATGGATATTTATATTCTTCTCAATGTGGTAGATACATGTTGTATTTGCTGCCATGGAAAGCATGGATGCAATACTATTCTTAATGCCTTTTTTTATAGTCATTGACCACTAATTGCATTGGTGAATTAAAGAAAGACATTACTTCTACCACCTTTGTACAAAACCATGTCTAATTTTCAATGTTCTCAATTGGTGCAATGCCAAAGGGAATTGGAACTAGGTGTCTTTTGACATCAATTACTAAATACATGTCTTTGTATGTAGCTTTGGAATAGACTATATCTAATAAAATGATTGGATGGTAGTGTGTCACGGCAGCCTTCTATACCATCAAACAGAGAAAGGTATGTTTAAACCATCCATGGTTGTTAATATTAAATGCAAAAGAAGTTCCAGGATTAACAACTTTTAGCTTATGAAGGAAGCCATAGATCTTTTAAAATCTTATATTGTACTTACCAATGGAATATTTTCTATGGGCCTCTTGGCTATGCCAAATTGCTGGGTATGATGTATCAGAACCAACTTACATCCTAACATGGTTGGTGATGTCTTGTGGATATAGACCATAGCTGTTATGGACAAGAAGTTTGATAATGATAGCTAGAGCATGTCAAAAAAGCCAAAAAAAATCAAAGATTATCATACAATTCTCATAGTAGGGTATAAATTTGATAATATAAAGTAATCCATGCTTTTAATAATTGAAAGAGACATAGAATGCACACCATCTAGCATCATTCTTTATCAACCCGTAGATTGCCACAATGTTAAAAGGCTTATTATTTTTGAAATGGTATGGAGCAGACACCTTTTGAGCATATGCATTGAGCATTGCATATGCTTCTTTTGCCATTAAAAGAATAACACTAATATGAACATCCATCTGATTTAGATACCAATCTTCATCTTATTATAATTTTTGCAATTTCTTCCTTCTATGTAATTAAGACAAAGATGCAAGTTAGCAAATCTGAATTTTACACTAATATCATGTTAAGCTAAAGAAGATTTGTTATCAAATTGATACATGTGATGCTTGCAATAAGTATTGTCAAGGTCAACCATAACATCAATTGCCTTTGATTTAGGTAATTGGTTGGGATTACCCTTCTTAAGAAAATAGCTAAGCCGGGATAACTAATGCATATTGTAATAAATTAGCACTCTTTTGCTAAAATTTCACCTTTCTTCCTTGATTCCATGCAAGAATGTCAGAATAGCCAGTTGAATTGCCTACCTTGATGACACTTATTATGAGAGCAAAAATGAAATTCTCTCTAAAAGGAGTATAGTAAAGATACTTATTAATTAATCAAGCTATCACAAAATTAGGAGAAATTAATCACACAGCATTATACCTTGTCGCAATTATTATACTCCCTCATGTATGTTATGCTTCTAGAGATTGTGTTCTCAATTGTATTAGATTAGTCTTTCAAATATTAGATTTGTCTAGTATTATTGGAGTATCCTTAGAGGTCTACTTTCCACACATTGCACGTTTATCAACTATTGGTGAAGAAGCTATTGCATTGTTTAATACAACAAAGAAGTTTTTGTATTTTTTAAAATAAAAAAATAATTTGAATGCAGAAAAAGTGTAGAAAAGAGCAACGGCAAAGTGCATCAAACAACCAATACAATAATTTTTAGAGTTTTCCTGATCTTTGACAATCCTTCATTAATGTCTTTTGAAAATAGATAACATGAGTATTCTCCTATATGTAATTATTTTCAAATCCTTCTTTGATTTGAAAGTACTTTTGCATTTATTTTCCTACATGTAAATTCTCCTAAAATATTGGCTAGTATTTTTTTTGTTTAAAGTCCTATTATCACAACATTATTATAGACAACTATTCTACTTTATTTTTTTGCAAATAAAATGAAACTCTAAATAATTAATTAAATTGAACTAACATGACAATCAATAAAGCAATAAACTTTTTGATTGTTTCATTATAGTAGAAACAAATAAATATAAAACTTAAAATTATTAATATCATTGTTTATATAAATTTAAAAATTAACCCAGTTAAATAATAATAATGATCATCTCAAGAAGTAGAAGATCCATTCTTGATGCAAAAATATTGTGCAAATTTTTACATCAAATTTTTAATATTTAATATTTAATTTCTTTTTGAAATTCTATAAAAAAATTATTAAATGAGAGTAATAAAATCTGTGAAATTCTCTCACGAAAAAAAAACAACATGAAAATTGAATCTTATCAAATACTTCATAAAATATTACATAAATCAAACTTTTGACTTGAAATATTAATACTTTAATGAAATATAAATAATACTGTTCTATTTAAAGCACCATATGGATAGTATACTACTTTTCAAATATCTCTTGCATTTGTAATTTTTTGTTTTATTAAAATACTTAAATTATCAAGTATAAAATTTTAATGAAGTGAAAATATTTCCATCATATTTCTCAGATAATATATATATATATATATATATATATATATATGCACCAATGCATATATTTGAAAAGAAAAAAACTATCATTTGAATCAACAAGTTTGATGATAGTTTTCCAAACCCATAAATCTTTTCAATCTTAAATTTTAAAATAAAAATTTGAAAAAATTGCCTCACTTTGATTGATATTCACGTCTTTCCAGACTTCCCATTGTATGCTTCGACATTCACAAATCTCAACAAGCTGTTTGAATGTTTCAAAAGCAAGCAGCCTGCACATATATCAGAGCGGCACTTATCTGCTAGGAAGTGAAATGAGATGCAGGTAATATTGAATGTTTCCAAGTTATGAACCAGAAAGACTTCAATGGGTTTTATCTGAACAAAATCGAGTCTTCCTGCCTGGATATACTTGGAAATGCCAGAGGTCTCCAATGCTCTTCACTAGATTGGTTGCGCACAAAAACTCTTCACTGAACTGCTTCTCGAGTGGCCTTGAAACGTCATGAAGAAAGATGTCTGTGTACTCTGAGATCACAGCAAACAAAATACATCCTCACACGGCAGATTTGTAACACAGAAATAGCATAGAAAAGTCGAATTTGCTAAAAATCCCTCTCATATTTAGTGTGAAAGAAAAGCATAGGTGACGATTTTACTGATAGTTTGAAACACATCGTTTAAATAAGGGGATGTGAATAAAAGCTATCAAAATCGTTCAATGAATTTCTTTTTACCTGAAGCAGTTCTTGTGTGCGCTACAACCGCAGAAGTGAAAATAGGGCTCATTCGTCCCGGAAAGTTGGAATACTTAGGATAGCTTCGGGGTCCGTCAATCATAATCACATCCCATTGCACAGAAAGTATTTCTATCGGCAGCTGACTCATGGCCAGAGCACACTCGGAGGTTTCAATTGGCTGATATGGTCGACATTTAGTTGAGATAGTCTCTCTTGCCTTCTGTAGCAAGTCCGATGCATCTTGTAGCGTTGTGCTGTATTTAACTTTGTAGATCTCTAGCTCCGGATGCTTGACTCTCATGCGATCAATCCACTCCTGTGTAATGCAAATAATGGAGGTTTCAGCAACGGTAAGAAAAATTGTGGAGTCGATGTGGTGATTGACACACTATCAGAGTAGCCATGCTTACGTGCACCTCATTTGAGAATACGCCAGCCGGCTACATCAAGGCGGTTGACAGGCAGACGAGGTCAATTGAACATTTGCAAAGATGATAACTAGCTTTTTGGTATACATCACAAATCCAGCACCACTATCAGGTCACCGGGAGTTCATTTGATCAAATTAACTCCAACAAGTGATGAATACTTCAAGGGAGTTTTCAGAAGTAATGGTTTCTACCGCTACGACATAAGATAACAGTGGAACAAAAATCGAAATCAGAAGACAAAATGTTAGAAATAGATACCTGGCTCTCGTCGAGGAAGACAGTACGACCTCCGTAGTTAAAAGTGGCCCACAGCAAGCTGTCATACCACATTCCAAACACAAGGAAATTGCACGGTGCACGTTGCAACAGCACTCCCAATGTCATTGCAATCTCGTCCTTCGATTGCTGCGGTAGTTCTTTTGTGGTGGCAAAATGTAACAGAGCAAGCGCAACGTCATGCGGCATAGCTCCGCCACCCCCTCTCTCTCGTTCATGATCGTTTACTTGAGGTCTTCTATCTCTTTCACCTCCGAGTTCTTCAGCCCATATCAGCTCCTTCGCAGCGGGATTCCACGTAGCCAGCCCGAAAAACACAGCCAGTAATCCGACTGAGAATAGAAGAGGTGCAATCACAAACAGTGTCGAGTTTCCCTTCTTTGAGCCCTGTGCCGACTGGAGAACGGTTCCCTTCGCCATCTTCATGAATATAATGTGGCCTATACTTGCGGTGATCAGTTCGGACGAGACATGATTCCGTAGACGTCCAAAAACACTACATCGTGAGCGTTGCCACTCTGCAAGATGTTTATCAGCTAACCTTGCTTCGTTTCTCCGTATCCATCTTAATCACGAGGGCAGGGCACGGTAATTCCGCTAGCATTGAACTCAATATGAACTTTGGCAGCCTGCAACCAGCAAGCTCTGCTTGCAGGAATATACCTGCCCCACGTCTAACTCAAGTCAGCGAATAGACGGATTCGAATCACACAGTAGCTATACACATCCTCACATGCACAGATCAGTAGCGAGATGCGAGAGTACACAACTGAAACGAGATGGCGTGGTTGACAGGGATCGAAGGCGGCAGCAGAATTCACACATGGCGGAATTCCAACTTGCCAAGCAGCACCGTTTCACGCACCATCTCTTTCGTCTCTTGTCAATTCGGTGCCTGGTCTGACGATGATTTTGGGCGGACCATATTCGTCCCTACATCGTTGACCATCGCCTCCCCTCTAACATCCTCCGTCCACGTTGTGGCCACCGTCGTCCATCGTCAAGCAGGGTTTTGACAAGGTATGCACTGCTGTAGGATTGAGGTCCGGCGATGGTGTGGCGTGTTCGCCTGGGGAGGTGGGAATCACCATTGGGTTCGCACAAAAGTTTCATGATGCTTTATTTCGATGGGGAGAATTTACGTCGTTGTGGTCACGTCAGAAAGTTGGAAGGAAGAAGCCGAGGTTGGCGCGGTAGCGGTGCGTGAAGGTTGATGAGGCACCCGCCATGGCTATGGAGGCTGCGGAGTTCAGCTTCCTGTGGGAACCGACTATCAATTCTGACGTGCTTCGCCTTATTCTCAGCCGCTTGCCGCTCTCCTTGATTGCCAGGACCGCTTGCGTTTGTCGTAGCTGGTACATAGTCGCCACAGATCCAGAATTGCTCATGGGGTGCTTCAAGGTGGAGTGGAAGCTTGCGGACGTGGTTGGTAAGCCATCGGGAAAGCAATTCTTCGACCGAGGGTTGCATCGGTTCGCAATTTCGCATCCTCTGCAACGATGGGATACTGTGGACAGCTTGGCGGTGAAGTATGATGTCGAGGTCAGTGATCATCTTTCTGTCTGTGTGTCTCTGTGCTCTGTTCTGTGCTCCTGTATCCCTGGAGAAACATGCTCTATAATAGCGCATTTTTTACGTGTGCTGAAAGTGAAATTGAGGAATTTGGAGGCTCTCAAAGTATGTTTTGGATTTATTTCTCAGAACCTACTTCAATTAACTAAAAAATGAGAGGGTGTATATAACCACTCCTTTTGTTTGTGCATTGATTTTCTAGTGAATAAAAATGAAATCCTGTCTTTTTGTACGTGACCCTGCACTAGTTGTCTTTATTGAAATCTCGTGGAAAATTAACAGCAGTTGTCCTCTTTTGTCCATGAATGTGACCTTGTAAATGTCGACCGACAGCTTACTTGGACCATTTGCTAATTGGAGTGTTTCATTCTAACTCTATTATTCCTTCAAATAGATTGGACCACTACTATATATATATATATATATATATATATATACATATATGTATTGTGAGGTTGTGAACCTATTAACCCGTTCATGTTCATCGGGAATCGCTCACCCCTCATCATGTATTATGACGATTGGTGTAACGATCAGAACGATAAATTTCGGAAGAAAATTGAAAACAAGGTTGCAGGATGCTATGGTGTGGTCGGTCTATCGTGTCCACTTGGGGATGATTTGGCTGCTTCTTAGGGTCAGTAACTGTCGACGGCGGTTAAAGGGCTATTGTATCGGTGTTTGTTCATGTCACTAATGTGCCTGTCCGATATACTATGTTATCATCCATCTGTAGAAGAAAGAACGCCTAGATCATTGATAGATATGATTTTTCAAACAAAGTCGCATAGATTTACTCAAGTGGAGTTTAATTAAGAATTCTACACAATGATGGCTTATCATGAGTGGTATTAATTTGCAGGCTTCCGAGATTAGAATGCTCAATAGAATGAGCAGCGATCATGACGTACATCGCCGCAAACGGCTGTTGATACCGGTAAAAAATCCGCAGCTTCTGGCTGGGAAGATATGCTACATTGAGTCCGATGAACACTCGAAGTCCGAAATGGCAGTGTTATATTTGCAAGGAGAACGAAACAAATCCGAAAACGCTCAAAGAATTGTTGAAACAAATATTTTTCAAGGCGCAAGCAGTTCAGCAGGTCCTAGAATGGACCAAGTCAGCGCAATTCCAGATGTATTAACTGAAATTATGACAGAAAGAGGTGATATGGGAGGAAGTCATGCTAGGTTTCGAGAAAGAGTTGTAGATAAGGCAAGCTATTTTACAAACGCTCAAGAAAAGGGTAAGCAAATTGAAGGTTTTGAGAACAGAATTTTTCCGAATCAAAAGGTTGAGGGCAACGCTTCAGCTTTCACGGATGATTTATGGAGGATAATCTTGGAGCTCTTGCCAGTCACTGCGCTGGGGCAGGCTGCATGTGTGTGTCGCCTTTGGCACACCATCGCAACTGAGCCTGCTGTGTTAGCAGCTGCGTTCATGGCACCTTGGGGACTGAATAAGGTTGTTGGAACCCCGCTTTCCAAAACCTTTTGGCGCGGCCAGCTAGGACAGTTTGTTATATCTCACGCACTGCAACGTCAGGATACAATTGCAGGCTTGGCTGTGAAGTACGGAGTGCAGGTAAATTAATCGTTAATCAGTTTATCGACGCTGAGAGTGAGTTATTTGTCATTTCTGAATAGCATGTATTGTTGGGTACCTAATTTAAACGTTAGAGGTATGCAAATAGCTTGGAGTGTTGGAATAGTTTTGTTGCTTCTAAGGTCAAGCATTGCAAGAGAATGCTGTTTTGGCCCTCTTTGAATTGAAGATCGAGGTCACAAGTATTGATTGGTTTCGTGTCATTTTCAGTAACAGTGGCGAAGCTTTGTTATCATGGAACAGGTGCAAGGGATCCGAAGAGTTAACAATATGATGAGCGACCATGGTATTCATTCGCGGGAGCGTTTGTTGATCCCAGTCTCCAGGCCTGAGTTACTTGTGGGGCAAACCTGCTTCATTGAGATGGACGCCCACGCCAAACGAGAGGTTGGAGTGCTGTATCTGGATGGGTCAAAACCCAACAGGAAGGACGCTGCGCGTGCTGAAGCTCGGGCACAACGCAGGCTGAAGACAGAAGTCATGGAATCCTTGAAGAGGAGTATGAGGGTCGACGACAGTACAGCTCAGTATTATCTCGCTCTTGCTGAAGGAGACGTTCGAGGTGCCCTGCAGGAGTTCAGCGAGGACCTTCAATGGGAACGCACAGCACAATAAGCTTGTGCTGTAGCTTTCAACGGATCTCGCACATTGCAAATGGTACTTATTCCTGCCAGCTGCACATGACAGTAATTGAAGTAGTAGTTCTATCAGATTGTAAATACCCATTCAAACTACCACCGTACTGCGTCTCATATTTACCCATTTGACTTGACGACCATTCATATCAACAGCTCAAAATGTGGTGTTTATGCAATTATATCATCATACAAGCTGAAACTCTTTCACGACCAAGGAACTGATTTCCTGTGTAAAAGTTTTGTGTTACAGGGTTATCAGAGCAACAGCATTGAGAATCTATTGCTTAACGTATCTAGTAGTAAACCATGTTGAATAGATGTTGAAACAATTTTGATTCTGCAGGCTTACCTCTCAGCTCACACCGCCACGTCGAGGGGCTGCAGAACGGACACATAGTTCCGTTATCATTTCTACGCTTAAAAACCCCTATTTTCACTGACCAGGCGTTCCTCTACATTCGGCAGTCAATGACATTCTGTACTTAAAGGAGAGATTAGGTTCTTATAATTGTTGTATACCTGTCTCGGAAATTTTAAGTTGCAACGCAATTTCATAAAGGCCAAAACATTTGTTCCAGGAGCGAATCCTACAGTAACTGCTAGATCATTTGTTAATCTCTATTCCTAGCCTCACAATTTATGCTTCATTTATTTTATTTTTTTATTTTTTTTGAAGTGGGAACGCTTGTGCTATCTAAAGGAAAGACCTAGTGAATGAGTTTGAAAGCTTTTTGATGACACAATTTTGGCTACATTTTGTTTAAATTATTTCTAAAACCAAGAGCATTATATGTTAATTGTATCAATGTAATTTTTAGCATGATTATCATCAATGTCATAATTTTGTAAAAAGAAACATACAGATTTGAAAAATAATAATAAAAAAATTTAAATAAAACTTCATCAAAAGTTTTAATTATTGTGAATAAGACACATCAATATGAAGAATTATGAATATTAATATTATATACAAAGTATATAGTAGTTGGGATAATAAATAATGATTCATAGATTGGAAATAAAAAGTTGTATGTAGAAGAATATTTTATTTATTTATTTATGAGTTATTTTAAACTCGTAAAACATATATATATATATATATATATATATATATTTCTAATTCAATATATGTAAAACTAGCTAACACAAACAAATTATTCAAGCCTCTTCCTAAAGTCTTTACATTTGTGTTTTATTTGAAGTGTTTATAGCATTCTCCTCATTAATTAATATTGTTAGTTGTAGAAAAAAATATAAATTATCAAATGTCATTAATTATCAAAGATGGTGCATCAAAGATAGGATAGAAATCATTTTTACTAGAATCATGTAATCTAGGCTACTTGCTTTTGACCACTAGGCTTTGCCTTGCTCAATCACATATAGCCATGTGATCTTTTTTAATTATCTTTGTTAATTTATAAAATTCAATAAAAATAAATAAATTATTAAAAACCAAAAGTTATTGATAATGCATCATGGAATAGAGTTGGTTTTCAAAATTTTAATTAATTATTGGAGATTATTAGTATGGAAAAGATTAATTTTTATGAGGAATACTATTTATATAAATGGTTTCCAAACCTATTAATATGACACAAGTATTTCACTATTTTATATTCTTAATCCTTGGGAATAAACTTTGCTTAGTGCAAATCAAATAAAGTTCTTTAAAAAATTACTTACAATTGTCTTAGTAATATTTAGTTTGGTAGTAATTTAATGGTCAACTCAATTCTATGGCATGTTGAATAATTATCTTTCTAGTTTGAACCAAACATGGTCTTTTTGATATTAAAATAGTAGAAATGTCAATCTTTTGCAAAAATGTTGTACTTGTGTGACAAGGATTCAAAAAACTAAAGTGGACCTTTACTACTTTATTGGTTTAACAAAACACACACACACACACACACACATATATATATAGATGCTTTAGGATATTATATTAGCTTGAAGAAGCTTAGTTAATAATTGTCCTCTCATCTTCTTGTCTTAATCTACCATCTTAGATAATTAGTTGGACACAATTATAAAGATTGAGATTGCATAATTATTTAATTACTTAGTAGAATATTTTGTTATTTTTAAAAAAAAATAACTAAAAATAATTTATTTAGATTAAAACTAGTTATGTTTTTAAAACTTAAAAATTATCAATTACTACACTAAATTGTAAGAAGATAAGAGCAATTATGTGGTATTAATTGGAGATGAAATTACTCATGTTTATGAATTAAATAAGATTTAAGAAATAACTCTATGTAAAAAAATTACTATACATCTTAAATATGAAAAATGTAAGAATAGTTACCTTTGATACTAATAGTACCATTAAAGAAATAACATTGTCAACCGCGTTTTGTGTTTTTGAAAAAACAATAAGAGCTTTTACTATATTCTTATTTCTCAAATTATTGCATAATTAAATCACGTTAAAAACGAAATTGTGATGACTTTTTTAAACTATAAATTTGCTTTAAATTTGTATTGTTCAAAAACATCTTTACAACAAAGTTTCTTAGCTATCTTTGCATTCATCATTTTATTTTACTTAGCTTAATTTCCTGCTATTATAAAACTTCATTGAGTAGAAATGTATTTTCAATTGAAGTAAAATTCAAAAATAATAAGAATAAAGCTATCATGCATCTCCCATCTGTAACAATATATATATATATATATATATATATATATATACATATATTTATAATATCTCCTTCACTTTTCCCGTTGATTCACGTTGATGATTCAGAATGTCAGAGAATTCTTTGCTTTGCAATGATATAGTTGAGCATTTGAGCTCTTTATAGACTGGTCCAATCCGTTTTAACCACCTACTGAAGCCACCATTGCCGAAACCCAAAGAAACAATTATTTTCTTTTCACCAATACAAGAAAGGCCTTATTATAGGACTACTTCTCAATGCGAAATATAGTATGAATTTAATGACACACCGCCATCTATAAGTGGGTGGAGGTCATTTTTGTTTCCAGCGATGTTTTTAGGAAAGTAATTGCAAAGAAACAAATTGTCGAGTTATGTACCAAAATTGGAAGTTGTATGATTTTCTGTACTAGTCAATAACAAACCAAGCAATAAGTGTAATGAGACTCAAAGGTTGCAAAGCAGAGGAATACAATAACAGCGCCAATTTACAATCAGCAAAATAATTTGAACCCTTGGAAGGTTCATGCAAACTTATTACTACGTTCGGAGGTCTCAGTGTGAACAAAGATTGGCAAGGTCAAGCGATCAGTTCAACACTGTTCCACTCTTGATGTCAAACTTCGATCGTGACAATGAGAACCATCACGAGCATTCACTACCAGGGCTGAATATAGTAATGTCTGTCCACATATCTAATCAATCAAAATCTGGGAGTGTACTGACTCGAAATGCAAATCACTTAGTTATCCAGTATAAAAGAATTAGTATAGTGCACAGTGATGCAACAGACCCAATGATGATCGTATCACGTGACCTTCTCCTTCGAATGGCTGTCAAAACCCCATTTACCTGCCACGACCACCAAATGTCATGAACAGATTCAGTTGGTCAAGTTGCAATAAGCCTACAATCTTCTGCTCAAATTAGCATTCGAGTTTGCCCTAAACCTCTATGCTACAAAGGAAATTGGGGTCGACTCAGCAATTTTGAATATACAATTAAAAGCGTACCAATATCATCTGTAAACGATCTGGGAGCTCACAAGAGGTGTGAAGATGACCAAGAGCTCAAAAGGCTTACCGATGGTAACCTGCTACCGATGGTGTTTATTTTTCCCGAGATGTCCCCGAATGTGGACCGTTGATATCTCAAGGCACTGAATGTTTCGTGAGCATGACCGATCATAGAATCCATCTACGCATGGAGCACCACAGACAATACCGTTACAAACTTGTTTCCAATTTCGATTTGTACACTCCCAATGAAACTACACTCGATACATTAGGTTCAGTGCTTGATTGTCCGCTAAACCTGAAATATCCTTTTAATGAGAACCAAATTTCGCACAGGTAAAATTCTACCTATCCAAACGGAGAATCAACTCATTTCTGAGCATTACAAGATAGCACTTGGTACCTGAGAAGTACTCCTACTTATTGCCCCTTGTTCCCGCAGAAGAGCTTGTTGTTGTAGACCAAAGCCCCCATCATCCATGACGCTATTTCTCTCATCACCTCTGCTAAAATGTTGCAATAGCTCTGCGTGTTCGCGGTTGACTTTTGCGTTGACACGGATCCTCGCAAACTCCTACGAAATCGAAAACCACAAGGACTATGCTATAAAAGCGCCGGCAACCAACAAGGCGAGAATGACAATGACACCTTGCCTACTTATATTGGTATCCAACGATGGCATTAAGGGACAACGCAACAGTAAATAACTTTGACTCTTGATTACCACAGATGTGATATATGATGTTTAATTCTCGTAGTTTAGATGGTAACCCAGCCAATAATATCTCGAGATTGAGAAACTATCATGACTGCAAAACTTACAAGACTTAAAAAGTCGCTGGGACGCAATACAACCAGTGAATAATCCCCTTACCCTTGACAGTCAATTCAAGGCATTATTAAAGAAAAGCATATCAGAATGTTGGGAAACTGCACCTGACTTAATTCGTGTAAAATGTTCCTGTGTCGTGCAAGAGTGTGCGAGAGGACATCGGAACCTGCATTTGAAACCCAGTTTTGCATGTCCTTATTCACTTCATTGAGGTGCTGCAGCAGTTTCTCTATTTCGGCCTCACTGCCATCTCCCTGACCGTCTTTTGGTGTACCGATTCTTCGAAATGATGCTAGCTTCACGTCAAGCTCACTTTCCAGTTTCCTTGCCTGCAAGTAGAAGAAAAAGATTGTATCGACACCTTTAGACAAATATGTGGGCCTGTACGAAACAGCGGCATTACATTTGAAACTTGTGGCCTAAAAAATCTACAAATATTCGACGCAATTAGTAGAACAGAAGAATAAAAAATTGCATGTCCATGGAGGAAGATGGAGGATTAAGTTGTCAAACTACTTGAGACTTCAGTACCGCCCTTGATGTCGCACCGTATATGGGGAAAAGAAGACAAAGGAAAGCCATCGACCACTGTTCCAATTACAAACAAATGGTTTTTCTATAATTATGGTGTTCGCTCGTAAAAGCTAAGGCACAAAAAGATAACCTTCACATTGAGGAAACTATCCCTTGAGTATTGACATGACAAACAAAAATATAAAAAAATTGGGGTAAAATTCAATGGTCAAGAGTAGAACAAAAGGCGACATCAAAGAGAGTTCGGTGATGCTTTGGCGTGCTTAAAGAAACCCCACAGGTCTACCTAATTCCTTGCGCATGTCGGAAGAACAGAGAAGAGCGAACGAAGTAAAACTCTCTTAGATATTTGCTTCATTGTTTTCCTTAAAAATCTTCCGAAAGCGTATCAGATAAAATGTACCTTGAGTGCACGTAGAATCCTGTAGTGTCTGAGTCGGTCATCTCCAAATGAAGGAAATTAGGTCACAAGCACAATGATATCTACTTCCTTCGTTGCACAATCCGCATTGGACTAATCGGCTTACTCCAAATCGACCATTAGCACAAACAAGGCAGATGATGTATTTGGTTCGGTGATCTCCTACCTGTTTGCGTAAATCATCCCAACCAGCATTTCTAGCCTTGGGCGACCACCCAGCTCCCGACGCCATCGCCAGGTTGACTCCGCCCCTGGACGTCCTTACGGAAGCTTTTCCTTTCTCCACGCCACTGATCGCAAGCACGTCGTCGGGGAAGAATTGATCTCTATGTAGAACTTACCGTCACTTGAATCATCGTAGGCACCCAACCCTCTCCCAACTGACTGCTCACCAAACCCTCCTCGTAGAAGGCGCTGAAGCACTAAAACGCGAGATCTACCCTAAACACCCAACACTAATATCACAACCCTTATCCCACACTGGTGCAAACAAGCCCCGCCTCGGAGGCGCTAATCACCAAACGACCTCAGCGCCACCGCAGATACGATCCGTGACACTTCCTCTTCAACGAAAATTCTCGATACGCCACAGTTAGAACCCAAAAAATCAACAGCCCTCAGATCGAAAGCGCTCGACCCAAACATGAAGGTAGCAGAAAGTCCTGCGTCGTTCACACGAGTAGCGATGAACCACGGCCATGAGTAGTGCGAGACTTAAGACAGAGAAAACAGGAACAACACAGCGTGTATTGATTGATTGCAACAATCAGCGTGGGACAGAAGTGGGGTTCCTTGCAGGACCTCAATAAAGGAGCGCACGAGATACCCTCACACAAGCTGTGTTACCACTCACCTCTTTCCCTCCCCCTTTGTTTTACACACACATGAGTAAAGCCTCGCCAGTGGACCCTGTCACTTTGTTCCGTTTTCACGGCGCTGGCATCGCAGGCTTGGAAATTTTGGAAGTGGGTTTGCACCGGCAGCTGGCCTAAGGGGATGCTCCTCAACAGTTGAACTGATGGGTAAAGATGGGTATCAAGGGGCAGAAGTCTAGAGTCCTTTTGTGGGCGTCTCAGAGCAGCTTCACAATGTTTGCCGAGGCTCCGGAACGTTCGGATCATGTCGTTGAATGCAGTATACATGATGTTTAGGTTTCTTCTCCACGATCTGGGCACGCTGGCCCATCATCGCTGACTATTTCATATCCGTCTTTATGACCTATCGGCATGTGAAGGGCTTCTTGCGATTCCTGGGCTTGATCACTTGAACCTACATCCTCCGAACAGTGTCTGAACAGTGTTCTTCTACGTTTACAAGTGAAACTTTTTTCGTGCTGGACAGTGTCTGAATGTATTCTCATTGCGAACTTGGTATTCATAGCAAATGTATTGATTGCACTTACTGATACATACTACGGCTTAATGGAGTGTGGAGGGAGTTGTAACTTCGACTACAGGCTTGGAAGATAGCGAATTTCGTCGTGGGAATGAATTTGACAACGTCCCTTCAGAGAACAGGGTTACTTCGGAGCACGCAAGTAATCTGGTCGAGTGGACACAAATCCACAGCATGGTGAGATGTGGGGCCCCGAGGATTCCTGAACTAAGCGAAAGAATCGTTCCAATCCCATGGCACTGCGAAGGAACACTAACGAACCATAAGTGTAATAAGTTAATCAGTGCTTATTTTAAATCACACATGCTTAATCAAGTTCGTAGAAAAGAGGATTACAGTTTTCTTTCGGCTTTTCAGACTGATCGACTGATGGGTAGATTCAATCGGCGTGTGATACCGTACATGTATACAAAAATGAAGCTGTAGCTATAAACACTAGGAAAAGAACAATGAATTCCTGCTTCAATTGTACTGGGATGCTGAAGGTGAGATAAATCCTCTTATCACAATTGTATTCAAGCGATCTGAACGCGTGCCACTTGAGTATAAAAGTGATCAAAAACATGCCAATTGCACCGAAGTCATCGTTTACTTTCTGCTCTCACCAGAGGACGTATAAATGAGATGGCATACAAGCGACTGCGCATTGAAAGAAGAAAATGCAAATGCTCTACCAAATACAAATTAAACTGCTTCTCCATCTGCTTCTTTACACAAGCAGAAGTATCAAATAAATCGAGAATCACGCTTTAAAATATCACTTAGCTGAATCCTATACAAAAGCTCATATGTTTCGCCCCCAACTAAGCTCAGAGGTAAAGACAATATAAGAAGTCCCAGTTTATCTGCTCACAAAAGCGGGGGGAAGATCACAAATCTTCGAGGGTACTTCTTCCGACCATCTTTCCCATCAAACGTCTGCACAGATGTCATCTCCCAGAATGTCATTAGAAATTGGACAAAATCGGAAAGCATTAGGACTACTAAATACTCCTTCCACATTCCAGTTAGAATAACACTATTGAAAATTGGGTCGTGCAATACAAGTCATATCTGAGAGAGGCAATAATAGTCTTTGTAGGGACAATCGAGTCGTCCATTATTTCACGTACAGATCATATGAACAAGAAGGGACACAGAATACTGTTGGAATGAGTAGTTTAAATCTACAACGAAAACTCACCTTCTTCAAGCGCTTGTGTTTCTGAAGAGCCCACACAGACATGATGTATCCTGCCGCTGCCAGGAAGAGGTATCCTGCCACCGTCTGAGTCGCAATGTTAAACCCAATCCACTGCCAAATCTCGGTGGTATAGTTCGCACAAGTCACATAATTGAACAGGAAACCGTAGGGTATCTGGTATCCTCCCTTTCCATCCGGAGACCTCAAATTCTTCAAGATGATGTGACAGTAGAAATTGGAGAGCTGGCTCACGATGGAAATTGCCAACCCCACGTACATTTGCTTCTCACTCACAGGGGTGTACAATGGATGGTTCACAAAGTAGGCAATGAGGGCCCCGAACAGCCAGTAATAAGCACAATTCCGGTAGACGTTGGAGAGAGGGGAAGTGGCATGACTGAAGCGGTGGATGCAAAAGGTTTCAAATTCTCGTTTGGCGTAGTGGAAGCACCATGCATATAGAGCGTACGTCTGCACGGGGTGGGTGACCTTGCGAAGTGGAAGACCAACGTAGGTGTAGATTTGAGGGAAGAAATAAAAGAGAGGGTAGATGACTAGAGGGCCAAGGTACTCGAAGCAGAAGAGTATTTTGTAGGATACTTGGGGACCTAAGTCTTTGAATACCACCTGGGGCTGATCAGAAGAGAGCTGGTCTTTCAGTTTCTTGGACTCGTCTACTGGAGTCGGACGGCTCTGTCCGGGTTGGAGAGGCAGAGTGAGTCGTTGCCTCTCCAGGTAGAATTTTTTATCTGCGCCGACACCATCAAGACAGACCACGTCAGTATTGCAATTGCATTGCAATGGAGACGACGACGGTAAAAGAAAAGAAAGACGCACGCAAAGCATGTGTGCATTGATAATGAATACTTACTTCGGCTGTAAATGACCTTCTTCAAATCCTCCAATGTTGCCTGCATTTCATTTCGGCCAAACAAAAAATGTCACAGGAGGAACTCATCTCCAGGCTTCATCTCATTATGGTAAAAAAATAAAAATAAAAATAAAAATAAAATCAGCAACCAACCCAAACGAGGACATCTAAAGCCCATAAAACCTCTGGATGCCTATTTTCCAGACACAAAGAACGGCCCCCAAATGGAGAAAGTGACCACCCACTTCATGCTAGTTGAACATCGGCACATTGGTCATAACTACCATACACTGAGTCATTGAGTAAGAACAGCGCTAACGCTATGCTGAATAACCACGTCTATGTCTGGCTCTCTTTACAGGGGCAGACACCCAAAGCCAGTAACCTAAGAAAGCGTGCTCAGATCGTCACATCGGCAGCATTCCTTTCAAAGTAGCACACTCAAAAACACGGAGAGGATAAGAACAAAAGCCAATCACTGCAACACACACTTCTATAACCAGACTTAGCCAACATTGACCCAACACTCAGAAGTCGGCTCTTTCTCTATGGCCCAACATGAGAAACTATCGTCACTCAAGACTGAAAAGCAACGCCCACCAAAACAAAACACGAAGCTCGCAGGGGGTTCTGACCTCTGAAGAGACTTCCACTCCTCCCTTGATAATCTCTTTGCCATTCCGACCCACCACTTGAACAAGCAGATTCTTCTCGGTCCCCATTGTCCACCGCGCTGGGATTGTCTGTGTCGCAACGCTCAATACATGGGACCCTAGAGCTAGCTGCAAACTCGAATCCTGACTACGTGATCCCCCAAATGGAGATTCAGGCAAGAGCTCAAAATGGAGATCCTGGAGGATAGAAGACCCACTGGTGAGTTATCGCTCTCTCTCTCTCTCTTATTATCTCCTCTCCTTTTGGCGACAATGCCGATGCGAAGCCGCAGAACACGCACGAATCTCACGTCCTCCAGCCGCCGACACACGACTGCGGCGACGTCAGCGACCTAAATGGTGCTGAGCGTTTAAGAAGCATTTTTCGTGGTGGTAGGTGCCACGGAGGTCGGGCCTCTTTATGAAACCCGGTTTTAGGGTCATCATCTGGGGAGTCTCCCACAATAGTGGATGTGTGATTCTACGGTTGATGCATTTTCTTTAAGTTATCGTTCATCCGTCTATCTCACCAGTAATTTGTTGGGGAAATATCATATATACCCCTCAAATATGCTAAAATATCAAGAACATCCATATATTCTTGATAATAGCAAATCTATCCCATACTTTTGTGATAATAACAAATGTATCTTCAAATATAAATAAGGTATCATCAAACTTCTTTTTTTAGTCATCATCATAGCCCAAACCATGTACATTTTGTTGTACAAATTTTGGCCTTACTCAATTTTCATCTTTTCGACAATTGCAAATAATTTGCCTCCCTTTCTTCTCTCAATTTATAGAGCGCAAGGATGATATGACTTGTACACTTTAAACTTGTCAACATGCACAACTGATTCAACCACATCTTTGACACGCCTTCAGTAATGGATTGGCATTAAGAAAAATGTGCTAATCGAATCCTTTATACACTGCAAAACTCTCACAGCTCATAGCATGAATATAATATAAAAACATCTAAAGTGAGGAGTAATTATTTTTCTCTCAAAGGTGAAGAGAATAGTTTCATGGACGTTAAGATTAAAAGTTAACAAATTAATATAAGATTTGACTTGATACTAGCAACTTGTGATTGCGAGATCTAATTTTTTGTAACTTAGAGCTTTCACGATTTGGAGATGGAGATAATTAGAAAAGGTGTTGAATAAGTTGAGATTCCCTCTCATGACCTTACATTTAGCAAGTATGTATCATATATACAAAAGCATGAATTATACAAGATATAAATACTATATTAGAATCAATATCAAATCAAAGCTTACATCTTTTATTTATAGCTGCGCTTGAATTACATGAGAGGGTAAACCTTACATATTGAGGTTGTCAAGATTCTACAATGGATGCATGATCCATCAATTTTTTTCCTCCAACTTACTTCCATATAGAAGATGTCATCTAAATTGGCCATAACTTGCATAATCTAAAGGCCCTTCTTGAGCATCATATACTCCACCATGCAAAAGTAAGTTCCTACAACAACTTAGTCTTTTATTGGGATGTAATTCTATTTATATTGAAAAAAACTTGATAATGTAACAATTACTATTTTGTGCCTCTTGTAGACTATATGAAAAATTAACAAAAGAGTTTGTTTGTATATGAATGGAGATGAACTTTCAATATTTAAATGTGATAAGTAGTTGGCCATCACTCTATACAACAGATTGTCACATAAGATGGTTAGTAATGAAGGAATCATATGGAACTTGATGCAATGCTTGTGATTTTAATCCAAAAAGGCAAGCTAGATTCTGCTAATCCCTTCAAGATCCCCATGGCCTAGATTATTGGCAAATAAGCTGCTTTGTAAAGTAATAGAATTAAGTCATATATTTCAGCAAGGCATTACCACGTGCACTCTATTGTCATGTTGCCTTGAGCTACTGTAAAACCTATGAGATTACCCAAAAGCCAAAAATTAGATAAGGTTGAAATCTTTGTAGCGAAATGCATATAGTTTGGACCTTAAATGAAGATTAAAAAAAAAGATTGGTGGTACCTTATTACATTTGAGGATACATTTGCTATTTTTACAAAAGTAAGGATAAATTTGACATTATCAAGAATATAGAAATATTCTTGATATTTTAGCATATTTCAAGGATGTATATGATATTTTTCTTAGTTTGTTTGGTATTAACAACTATGCATTCGTGTCCAACATTCTCTTTGAAATTATAAATGTATTTGAGAGTTTGTTTCTTACATCACATTTTCACTTAATTTTTTGCAACATTTTTTTTTTAGTCAAATTATTGGGAAATAGGAAACACAAACAAACAATATGATTATCAAAGATATTCCATGCTTTTAACTACTCTCTTTCATTTACAATTCCTATCATTTTTTTCTTTTTATTTATTTTTTATTCAATCCAAATGACTTGAAATAATAAAATAAAATTTTATTTATTTAAAAAAATTGTAAAAATTATTATCATTTCAAAAAAAAACTTCTTAGTATTTTGATGTGAATTAACATCTTTTTTTCCAACATACACACACATATATATATATATATATATATATATATATATATACACACACACACACACACACATATATATATATATATAGATATTAAAATAAGTAGATAAATAAATAAATAAATAAGATATTATTAATACTACTACAATCTCCCACTTATTCTATATATTCTTTTAGTAATTTTAATTCTAATCTTAAAAATTAATTATATTTCTATTATATATGTGGAATTACTAAAGCAACACCCCTTTGGATTCTCATGATTAATTTAGTCTATCTTCTATATTTCTTCCATATTTCCAACCTCAATATCCAATTCTCAATCCATCGTCTTCATTCTTTGTTTTTAATTTCCAATCCCTTTTCTTGTTTCTTGTTTCCAACACTTGTCTTTCATTTCTATTCTTATTTTATAAAAAATAATATACAAATTTTAAAATAATTCATGTTTTTTACTCAAGAAGTCAATCCTAAAATTTAAAGCTTTTAGCTATGGATTTTATACATAATTTCTATTTCAAAAGACTTGTATATATTAAATTTTAGTTGAAAAGGTTTAGATTCTATAGGTACACAAAATAGAATTAAGTAAGCCAATTTGTGTTTAAATTTTAAAAAAAAAGTCTTATCTTCTAAATATAATTAAAAGATTGCAATGCAATATCAACTATGTTTTAGTCACAAAATAATTTTATATATAAAAAAATCTTTTTTCAAGGTTATTGTTTCCATTTACAATAATAAAGAATAGAAATAAGAGATGGGTGTTGGGAATGGGGTTAGAAACAAGGGACTAGGGACATAGAACAAAGATGGAGGAAAGAGGGGATTAAAACCGGAGATGGGATGTAGACTAAATTATTCATAAGAACCCAATGAGATGTTGTGTTGATAATATAGAGATGTTGCTTTAAAATATATATTTTAAAAACATAAAAAATGATTGTGATAAAATTAAAAAATAATAATAAAACTTTGACTAAAATTTGAAAAAATATTTTCATGAAGTTGAGGTGGTAATAGCAAAAATTGTGATGACATTAGCAATATCCAATAAAAAACATAAATTACGATACAAAAGTAATACTTGATTTAATTAAGATGTAGTGTTAGTACTTGAAAGAATCAAGAATATCATATGTTGTTAATCTTGTTTATCTTTTAGGTGAATATCTTATTTGCTTTAAAAGTTATTTTTTGCTTTTTTTAAACTTCCAACATTATAAGAAATTGAGCATTAAAAATCAACTAGGAGTGTATGCTCCATGTAATTTCCATATATTAGATATACAGCAAACACAACAGATTTAATTATGCACTAACAACATAAAAAAGAATAAAAGAATAAAGCAACAATAACAACAAGTGTGTAGCTAAATTTTGATGAAACTCTACTTGATCCAACTCGGGTTAGAAGACTCATATTCCCACCAACATGCATTTGTACTACAACTCTCCATGGTCTACTTATCATTGTCCCCATACAATATATTTTTTGTATAAATGTTAGGTATAATTAAATCATAATCTGATGAGTTTTTTTTGCTTTTGTTTTGGTTTGTTTACTGACAGATTGCAGAGTATGTTGTGGATTAAATGGGTAGAAAAGCAACAGAGAGTGCAAAAAATGCATCATTCAATTACTAAACCGTTAAGGCCAAAGTCTCCAATCATTAAGGTTCTTAAGATGAAAACTGTTATTAAGGAAAATATATTTGCCTCCCTTAATTTGTAGTTTACAAGATATTCATAAAGGAATCTTTACACTTGTGAAAGAGGAAAAGAATTCACAATTTTGAAGTCTTTTCATTGGTTTAAATCAATGACGCTTCACATAGCTAGCTTTACATTTAGAAAAATTAACCCTTAAGCCCTGAGACATATCAAAGTGAGATTAATACTAAAGATACCAAATTATTGATGAAGTGTTAATAAGAAAAAAAGAAAAAAACAGGACATGAAGAAGAAGAAGCACAAGATGATGAAGCCTAGATTACGAACTGACACCTTCTCACGACCATTAATTGAATGTCACGATGCATTCACTACCACTGAAGCAAAAATATTTATTATATTGCGTATCAACCACCAAACTAGTGCTGCAGGGTACATCGAGTAAATCAGTGGGTCGGTTGATTTATGCTGCAATGGTATCAAAACAATGTCTTTAAACAAAAGGGGGTAAAATAACATATCTCTGTGGATACTTCCCACGCCCATCCTGGCCATCGAACATCTACAGAGACACACAAACAAACAGTAATGATATGAGCTACAGAGCCCAGTTTCAGAGGGGCAGAACCTCTGACTAACAATTCCACACCACAATTAAAGCCACTACTATTATGAAATATATAAGTGCTAGATCAGCAGCTCGTGAGAAAAAGCTGATTGATTGATCTAACTTCCTTAATGTTAAGATATGAAACATGTAGACAGAATTCAAGCAATTGACAGAAAAGGATGGTGGTTGATAGTTTTTTTTTTTTTATAAATTACCTTCACCAGCCGACTGTGCTTTTGGACAGCCCAGACAGTCATGATATACGTCCCTGAGGCTATGAAAAGGTAGCCCGCCAGGGTCTGCGTGGCCACATTGAATCCCAACCACTGCATGATTTCGGTGGTGTAATTTGCACATGTCACGGAGTTGAATAAGAAGCCGTGGGGGATATGGTGACTGTGCTTCCCCTCTGATTTCCTCAAGTTCCTCAGTATGATGTGACAATAGAAGTTGGAGAGCTGGCTCACAATGGAGATGACAATCCCCACGTACAATTGGGTTTCCCCCACAGGATTGTAGTTGGGGTGGTTGAGAGAGTAGCCAATAAATCCTGCAAATGCCCAGTAGTAAATGCAGTTGCGGTACACATTGGCAAGAGGGGAAGTGGCATGGCTGAAACGATGCACAAAAAGCGTTTCGAGTTCACGCTTGGCGTAATGGAAGCACCAGGCATAGAGGGCGTAGGTCTGGGCAGGGTAGACGAAGGTACGCTTAGGCAGACCAAAGTGAGTATACACTTGTGGGTAGAAGTAGAAGATGGGGTAAATGATTAATGGGCCAAAATATTCAAAGAGGAACAGCGATCTGTATGACACTTGGGGTCCCAGATCCTTGAATATCACTTGCGGGCGATCCGTGGTGACGTAGTCTTTCAGTTTCTTGCTGCTATCTATTGGTGCGGAGCGCCCCTGACCCTGGTGAGGCAGCGTGATTCTTTGTCTGTCTGGGTAGTATTTTTTATCTGCATCATCATGGGTGGGAAGCAATGTTATCGAGCATCACATTCTTCACAGTGTGTATAAGGATTTGTAATCTAAGAGGGAAGCATAAGGCAGCAGTAATTGTAGTTAAAAAAAAGAATACTCACTACGTCTCTGTATAGCTCCTTTTAAATCTGAAAAAGTTCCCTGCAGATTAGCAACACAATTCAATGTGAAGTTGAACGAAAAAACAGGGCATAAATAGTTACAGTGAGCGCAGAACTATCAAACACTGAAGATTAGATGACCACTTGAAGAGAATAACCCGATCTATCACGAGTAGAAAAGTTGTGGAAGTTTGTGACCTACGGTTCAACAGCGCCATTCAAGAAAAAGAAGAAAATAAAATTAAAATTAAAATAAAAACAAGCAGTAGTGGAAATGCACAACTTACAAATCAAAATCCAGTGCACCAGAAAGACAAGCAACGGGGTTCGGGCATTGCAAACCCCTCGCTTACCTCCTCAGGCACTTCAACGCCACCCTTGAAAATCTCCTTTCCATTACGGCCTAATACCTGAATCCGCAAAGACCTTTCGGTCCTCATGTTTGAAATTCACTTTCACAGACCACCAACAATGCGAAAATTGATTCTTACAGTACTAATGTGTCACCACTTTGGTCGTTCGCAACCTATCACTCAACAACAATGTCGATGGCCGCAGCATGCATTACGATGACAATGACAAGTTGTCATAAGAGAAAAAGGAAGAGAAGTTCTGCGATAAAATATGCCTGGCGAATATGACACATCTCAAATAGCAATCAGATTCCGTGGAATCAGCACAGTGCTTCAGACAATGTGACTAGTTCTCTTTCGTTCGCAAGAGGTGCAATTATGCTGCAAGTTACATTTCTGAAGCAAAAGAAGTAAAATCTCGGATTTGCAAGCTGCAGTTACAATGCATATAAATAACTTCCAATCAGAGGATAGCTGAAACGTGACTCCATGGAACATATCACATTGGCAGAATCAAATGTCATGTCTAGGTTTAGAGACATACTTTCATAAATACGTAAGTAAAAAATGAATAAGGGTTTTTGAGATACAAGCACACGAGGAGAAAGCAAAGATGATAAATGTAGGCGGACAACGAAGACAGCTAGAAAATGGTGACCTCAAAAAATTATTGGTTTTATTAATGACTTGGACGATTGCGAACAATTTTTTTAAATAAACCTCCACCAATACCATCTATAGGAATGTTGCCACAAAATTGGAGTAGCCGAGAATATTTGACTCTTCATTACCTCACTTTCCTTGCTGAACCCTAAAGACAGTCGAATGATGATACCACTAGAACGATCCTACGCCTAACCCTTTTTGGACAAAGAATCCAAGTTTCACAACAGAGACCCAGTTCTATTCGTCCTTCGGGAAGAAAGCCTTCTTGGTCTGCAAAACAGTCCAACTACTTAGTTAATTTCCTGAATATAAAGAAATAAAATCAAATTATGATTCAACTTTGTTGAAAGTATAGTCTGATACGCACACCGAAGAAACTAGGATATTCAGCGGGAACAAACCTGCTCCAAAGTCAAAAACATGATAACGTTCCAGGAACCAAGTCGACCAAAATTGGGCCAGAACCCCTTGTAAAAAGCTCCAGCACCCTGTACACCAAATTCACAACGTCACTCACAGCAGACAAAATAACTGGAATAGGCAATTGCAGCTGCTCAAAGAGAACCGAATATTTGTGGCAATCTAGGAACATCGAAGGGTCTGAAAACATCACAAAAAAAGGGAAGTGGAGGCACGGACGTCATTCTTAAACGTCTGGACGAAGCAGTCTATTGTGCCCTTGTAAGCACCCTGCCCTCCTCCCATCATTCTAGACTTCACCTGGACAATATTACATGATCAAACTTCAGTAATGCAACGGATTATAAGAAACTAACAAATTTTATCGAAGTAAGAGTCTGCAAGTCCCAAGTTTCTAGGCAATCCAGATACGAGGTCTACACAGATAGAAATGGAGACACTAACCACATCAACAGGAGAGCCAACGCAAACAGCAATAAAGCCAGCTCCCAATCCGGAGAGGATGTGCGTAACAACGTTGTCTGTAAAGCCAGGGAGCTTTAACAATGTCTGCAAAGCTCAACTTGTCATGTTAGTAAAACAAACGTCCTGCCCGATTGCGTAGTGCATTTCCTGAATTAACAATACAACACCAACTTTCCTAAATAAAAGAGCAGAAAATAAAACAATTTATCAACAAAAATCAGGATAAGGAACACGCCTAACCTGCTTGACTTGGTCATAACTGGCCAACTCCGCAGCATTGATGATAGCGTTACGAGCGACATTTGGACCAAGCCCAGTCCACAATTTTGTGAATCCTTCCTAAAACACAAGATCCTTTTAGTTAGCGTGGAAGCTGGAAAGGAAAACAAGACCATCTCAGAGTTCATTGAAAGTGACGTCAATCAAGAAAAGCTCTGTATCATGAGTGTAAATTAGAAAGCTCAGATTTATTAAAGCTATAGATCATGGGGCTCAGACCTGCTTGACAATGGTCGAGTAAGCATTCATGGCACCGCTGTAGCGGCGGGGAACACCAGGAGGGAGCTTGCCCTCGGATTGAAGACGCACTTTCACTAGATCTGTGGGACTCGCCACACAAATAGCCAATGCACCTGCAGTTCAGACCATAAAAAATCATGGTTATAATCTTCTCTGATATCAGACATAAGATGATAAAAAAAATATGAAAAAGTAGAGAGAAGAAACAGAAAGTGGAAATTTAGATTTGAATTATTTAACAAAATAAAAAGTGAAGAGGAGGAGGAAGAAGAGAAAATCAATATACACCATTGAGGAGGGCACTTCAGAGGAGCGTGGCCCAACCTGTAGTAAGACCAGCAGCAATCTTCTTAATCAGTGGAGCATCTCCTACGTGATCTTTTCCTATGTAAACGTTCTTAACCTGCTCCCCAGATTTTGCATTGGGTAATAACGTTAGCACATTGAAGGCAAACGTATAACTGAAGCTTCAAATCATAGTCTTATCGTAACGCCCACCAACACAGGCCTCATTCGTGATAGGTAACGCATGTCAACCTTCAACCTAAAAATTTCCAATAAAAGCGACTAGACGCCTCGAATTTTTAGGAACTTCGCGATCCTCACAACTTAGAACATTTTGCGAATTAGGCGATGACTACATGCGCGAGAACCAACTTGATGCTAGCAAATGATCTCTCAGGCAAAGACGTTATATACTGATAAGTGAAAAGAAGAGAAACTTACCGGTTCATAGAGACCAATTCGAAGACCCCCGAAGAGGCATTGCCGGTGAAGTCCTGGAACAATACCCTTCCAAAGGGAGGCTGCCCCTTCTTCCCTTGCTATGGTGGCCATGGTCCCGAACATTCCCCTGTACTTGGGTGCAGCATTGAGTTCACCTGCTAGCGCTTTCCCTTGCAGCTGCAACCTCACTTTGGCCGTATCTAGAGGGATTGTACAAGTCTGCCATGTCCAACGTCCTCGTTAGCTCCCACACCACTGAATACCAATCTACATAACGCCATACATTCACTGCTCATGACCGAACTTATTTTTGCAGTTTGGAGCTCAAATCGTTGCTTAGAAAATTGAAGAATACAATCTGAGCAGCCGAACACTTCCTCGCTCTAAACACCACATGGAAAGCGTTTAAAATCATGTATGAGTGCTCTCATGTGACCCAATTTCGCAAGAAAAAGAAAAGGAAAAAGAAAATTACAAGTACTTAAGAATATTTAATGAAAAAAGGAATGAAAGGAATGTGTAACCCAACAAGGAAATAATAACCATAGCAACTCAAAACTGACGATCTCCACAGAACAGAACAAATCCGACAAATTATAACCGCAATCGGCACCTCACCAATTTATTTACTGGTTTTGTTTTGTTTTGTTTTGTTTTTTTTAAAAATCTCATACGCTAACAATCCGTGGAAACTGACAATAAAATCCGACTCGTGTGCAACTTCACCCAACCCAACTAAGCTGCGAGGAATCGCAATAAACCAAAACCACCCAGAGGGAGAGAGAACAGTGCTAGCACCTCGGCCCAACAAGCGCTGAATGCAGACGCAGCGAAAGTGCCATAAAGTGGTATGGCCTTGGCCGGCTTGGCATCACCCCCGGTCATGTTGACAGAATGAGTGCTCCCGGGGTGTGGTACTAGAGGAGATGGACACAATAACAAGCCAGGGAAGAAGAGTGCATCCACCGAAACAGAAGAAATAGGCGCAGGCACTGCTCCTATACCCAGGATCCACCGCAGTGAGCAATCTCTGGGGGACCAAAGGAGCACGACGAAGCGGCCAGGTCGAGCGTTCTCACGGTGGGAAGAAGAAACAGGGACCACCGGCAGTTGTCGATTTCTGCTGCCTCGGCATTCTACGCGACCGAAAGAACCGATCGCTTGGTGTCGTTTGCGTGATTCTGAGAATCTCGTGATTCCGAGGACATTCTCTAGAACAGGGTCACCTTGGAATCGTCAAGAGGAAGTTGCACCTGACCGAATGGTTTCTTCGGAATAGTTTATTGTTCGTTTCTAGTATGCCCTTTTTATTTAGCAAAACTGAAGGGTTTTCAGGAGCAAATACTGCGAGGAACTGTGAGTCAGCACATCCTCGGCGAAGTAGTAGATTGGTTTGATTTCAGGCGGTCATTAGTGGTAAGCGCAAGAGCCTAAGTGGCATGCTCTTCATTGCAACATTCATGAGCAAAGCTTTCCTAATTAGCCAAGTGAATCAACCAAGAGCATGATAAGTATGCGAAAGCATCAACGTCCTCCAATGGCACAAACCATCCTCTAAACGAGGCTGATAGACTCGAAACAACGCCAGCACAGGCTTCATAATCAACTGATTCGAACACCCTGAATAGCTGTATAAGTACATGTATAACTATGTTCCCTATGTTGAGAACCTGGTGGGAACATAGGGGGTGATGTTCAATACCCCCTCTCACCCCATAAGTTCTAAACAACAGACTTAAGAACTACGTACTTCTATCTGAAAAGAAAGTTTTCAGCTTCATGTAGTGACACTAAACCTTTGTATCTTACACACTTGAAGTGTTTTACTAGAGGTTTGCATTCATTCCAAGAACATTAGATTCCTATTCTACATCCTATTTTGACTACATAGAATTTGAAACTCCTAAAACATGGTGAATGATGAAGGTAGGTTGAAGCTCTTATTGGAACAAAATAGTTGATGTTGGAGTTGGAAATAGATCAAACTTGAGGTTGAATGAACAAAGTGTCTATACTTGTGAGGAGGTGATCAATTAAAGTTTTGAGTAAGGCTAGGAATGCCTCAATAAGAATAAGCAAAGATTCCCTAATAGATTAATTGTTGCAAACAACATCAATCATAGCAGAGGGTAGTATAAGAGAAAAACGACAAGTATTTAACATTATATAAGAAGGCTTGTAATACACACAAGGTTGAGCTTGCTTCTAAACTTCTCAAACAAAGATCGATCAAGAAGCTTTGTAAAGATATTAGTCAATTGCTTAAGATTTGAAACATACTCAAGTACTAGTTTGTCATTTCAACCTTTTCACAAGTGAAGTGGTAGTGGACAACTATATAGTCAGTGTAGTGTCATATTACATGTGTTCTTATTTGAGAATGCACGGAGTACCTAGTTGTGGAAGGTAAGTAGAAATGCAACAACAATTGTATCAAGTCCAATAAAATCTTAAATAAACTTTAAATAAATCTTAATAATCCTAATCAAATTTTGACCAATTCAAAATAAATTTAAAAGAAGTTATAAAAGAAACACAATGAAGTCTTAAACTAATCTTAAAGAAAAATAATAAAAAATCTTAAAGAAATATAAAAATAAATCTTTAAAGAAATATCAATAATCTTAAAGAAATATTAGTAATAGAAACTTTTAAAAAAAATAATCTTAAATAAATATTAAAAATAAAAACCATAAATAAATCCTAACCAAATCCTAATTTAATCTTAACTCAAATCCTAATGAATCTTAACTAAATTCTTGGTCAAATCCTAATAAAAATCCTAATTGAACCTTAACCAAATCCTAAATCAAATCTTAATTGAAATCGTAATGAAATCCTAAATCTTAGACAAATCCTAAACCAAATTCTAAGCAAATCCTATGTCAAGGACAAGAACTCGATGAAAGCTAAAGAGTAAGTGAGACTTTTCTCAAAGAAATAGGACAAAATAGAAATATGTATATTAAGAAAGAAATTAGAATGGCTATTGCCAAAATACAAGAAAACTAGAGACCCTTGAAACTAGACTAGAAGCAAGAAAGGAGTTGACAAGAGTGAAGAGGGCTTCACTCTTGCCTCTATATATACTATCTAACTAGAAGCCACATGGCGATGTTCTATAAGACCTCCAATATATGTTGACTTTCTAGGCCACATGCCTTTGCTTACAAGGCAAGTTTTCTATGGATGGACCATGTAGTTAGCTTGTTCTTTAAGCTTCCAACATGTGTGGCACATGGCTAACTTGTTGACCAAGTTTCTAGCCTAAAAGTCAACTATAGACTCCTATAAAGTCAAAGCAGCGTCTATGAAGCTTCTAAGAAGCTTCTCTAGAAGATATTACACAATTAACCTACTTTTATCTACTTTTACATACTTTTATCTATTCATATAGGTAATTATATGTATGTCCGTGACATTACCCCCCCTTCTAGGGACGAGTTCCACGAGGAGCGGTGATTATATATTGAGAAAATCTAATATGCGGCGAATTGTATTTGCTACATACTCTGATCTTTGTTCTCTTCGAAGATAGTTGATGGGTCCTCTTAGCCATCGATAGTGTCCCATTCCAGGGCGAGAAGACCACCCTGTTATTTGATCATTGTTGAGGCCTTCATAACTTCCTTCAAATAATACATTTGAAACACCATCAGGAGTCGTTCCTATCTCCAATAATATCACCAAACATCGAGAATCTCTTCTAAGGTCGTGATACCAAATGCGTTGTATCTCACCATTTATTCGAGGAAGAACATGTCGTTCTTGAGGATCTTCATCTCGGTTGCGTCGTCTTGAAGGTTGTGACAATCGCAATGTCTCATCCGGTAAGTCAGCAAACGAAGGTTCTTGAGTTGAATCCGCTGGTTGTTGGCTCTCCATCTAATTAGCGTCACAAATGCAAAGAAGTTACAAACAAGGATAGGAAATTGAATGTTATCTTGCCTCAATCTTGTCTCTTTTATAAGAGAGGTTTTCATCTTGGTTTTGATGGATGTCGTTGATGAAAAACTTTGACTTTAGCTGATGCATTTGCTAGATTCCTGGATGGCTCCCATGTGCGCTCACTAATATCATATCCGCGCCAATGAACAAGATATTCCAGCTTATTTCGGCGCCGCCTTGAGTCTAATATCTCTTCCACCTCAAATTCTTCATTATTATCTACTTCTATAGGAGGCGGTGGCATTTGTCTTCTTCCTTGTATATCCACTGTCTTATATGGTTCAAGAAGAGACACGTGGAATACAAGATGGATCTTCATTGACTCTGGTAGATGTAACCGATATGCAACTGGGTTGATCTGTTCAGAAACAGAAAAGGGGCCAAGCCTACGATAGTCCAATTTGTCACAAGGTCGAGTGGTCTTGATATTGCGACGAAGTAGCCATACCTTATCACCCACGTTGAGTTGTGGTTGCTCTTTACGATATACATCTGCATTTATCTTTTGTCGTTCTTGAGCTTTCTTCAACTGCGCCTTCATTATTGCATGTAACTCTGACAACCGATTTGCCATATCTTCTGCTGCAGGATTATCAACTTTTGAAAAATCAAAAGTATCAAGTCGTGGATGATAGCCATAATTGGCAAAGAAAGGTGTTTGTTGCGTGGAAGAATGTACTGTATTATTATAAGCAAACTCTGCCAATGGCAGAAGGATTGTCCAATCATCTTGTTGGTAGTTGATGGTACACCTTAAATACTGTTCCAAGACTTGGTTTACACGCTCTGTTTGTCCATCAGTTTGAGGATAGAAAGCTGAAGATAGCTTTATGTCCACTTTTAAAATCTTGAAAAGAGTCCTCCAGAATCTCGACACAAATTGAGTTCCCCTATCCGATATGATATCTTTAGGTAATCCATGATAGCGATAGATATTATCAATGAAAAGCTTAGCTGTTTCTTCACCTGTGATAGATTTTGTACATGGCATAAAATGTGCCATCTTGGTGAAACGATCTACTATCACAAATATAGAATCATAAGATCTTGAGTTTGGAAGATCTGTGATGAAATCCATAGAAACAGAAGACCATGGTTGTTCTGGTATAGGTAATGGCTGAAGAAGTCCGTAAGGTCGATGTCGAGGAATTTTTGATCTTGAACAAATATCATATGATTGTACAAAGTCTTTGACTGACTTCCACATTTGTGGCCACCAAAAATCTCTTGATATGAGTTTCAGAGTCTTATTATATCCAAAGTGCCCTGCTGCTGGAAAGTCATGACGTGCTTGAAGAACACGCAAACGTGCTTTTCCTTTTGGAACATATAGGCGTCCTTCAAAATATAATAGATTATTCTTGAACTCGAACTTAGAAGAATCATGAGACTTGGAAGAATTATTCTCGATATCATGAACAAGAGGATCTGAGGACATACTGGACTGGATTTGCTTGAGAAAAGTTGAATCAACAGTCAGTGTTGATTTCACTGCTCGGAGATGAAATTGCTCCGGTTTCAAGAGGACCGTTCTTTGTTGCTCAAAAGCTGCATCTCCTTCTTTTGGTGCAAAATAAGAACGTCTAGACAGGGCATCGGACAAACCTTGTTGTTTTCCTGGCCGATAAGTGATAATGAAGTCGAATCTTGACAAAGACATACTCCAACGAGCTTGACGACGATTCAACACGCGTGCTGACATGAAATACTCGAGGTTCTTGTGATCTGTATACACAGTGACTGGACTAGAAGCACCTTCTAGATAATGACGCCATTCTTGAAAAGAATCCACGATTGCAAGAAGTTCTTTATCGTGGATCTCATAATTGATCTCAGCTGCTGAGAATTTTCTTGAATGAAAAGCTATCGGATGAAGTTTGTCATTTGTTCCCATTTGTGATAAAACTGCACCCAAGGCAAAATTCGATGCGTCTGTTTCCATAAAAAATACCTTGAAAAAGTCAACACGATATAAGACTGGTGCAGAGACAAACGATGTCTTCAAGGCTTCAAATGCTGCTTCCGCTTCTTGATTCCATTGGAATTTATCTTTACTAGTCAAGCGTGTAAGTGGAGCTGCAACTCGTGAGAAGTCTTTGATGAAGATCCGATAGTAATTGGCAAATCCCAAGAAACATTGGACATCTCTTACAGTTTTTGGAATCTTCCAATCCATGATTGTTTGGACTTTCTTAGAATCCATCATAAGACCATCATTTGAAATGATGTATCCTAAAAAGTCAACTTGAGTAGTGTGAAATACACACTTTTCTATCTTGGCGTAAAA